TTCCTGGAAAAAGCTGTACACCTATATTTCTTACTGCTAGAGCAGAATTTGGAGAACGCATTAGGACAATGTATTGAGCATTTTGTCTCGCAACCTTGATTTTACGATCGAATAAGTTTTGAGTTACAAAAATAATTGCAAAATTCTGGTGGTGGGATTTTTTTGTAAAGAGTTCAGATAAGTACTTTTCATCAATAGACAGAAGTAAGTCATCAAGAATTAAAAGAAGTGGCTTGGGAAATTTTTTTAATAATTCTTCAGGAGGGACACCGACAAACACATCAACTCCAGATTTTTGAAGTATTGGAACAATACTACTCATTTCTCCAAAACAATACAATATACTCCTTGGTTTGGGATCAATCAAGTCTGACGCTTCCGAAATAAATTTTAATAGGAAAGTACTTTTACCACTTGAACTGGGACCTGATACGATCATACCAAAAGGCAATTTAAAATTTAAATCTTTATTAGAAAATGTTAGTGCTTCCATTTAAAATAATAATTAACTAAAATTTATTAACTTAAATACTATCAGTAAAATTAAAGGGGTGGCTGTAGATTTGTATCATCTGGATTGTTTACTACTTGTTTCTTAACCTCACTTTCTGTTGACATCATACCCATTGTAACAGCCTGCATAGAGTCATAAAACTCTAATAGGACTGTATCATCATTTTCTTTAATTGAAGGTTCTTCTTTGATAGGAGATAATTCTGTAGGGTTCTCTTGTGATGGCATTTCTGGTTGCGGAGATGCAGGAGGCGGTGTTAATAATTCCTGATGTGGTGCGAGAGGAGGAGACATAGGCGGGGGTGTTAATAATTCCTGGTTTGGAAGAGGAAGAGGTTGGGGTGGTGCTGGTGGGAGAGGTAATTGGTCAATTGCTTCACGTTTTAGACAATTTGAATTTTTAACTGAGCAAACATTTTGGGAACCATATGGAATATTCAAAACGCGGCCTTTATTCTTGATCTTAAGTTAAATACATTTTTAGCATTTTATGATTAATAACCTTAAAGAAACAATGCCCGGGCAGGTCGTAAATACAATCAAAAGGAACGAAGCGAGGTGACGATAAACGAGTACAATAGATTGTTATCCCCTCTTTTGTAACAATAAAATCTAATTCAACTTCAGTGCTTTTACACTCACGACAGCGGCCACCATGTTCAAAAGGGATGAATCTAGGAGTTGATATTCTTTCACTAGTCAGGGTAACCCCATTAGCTGTGAGATTGAAATCAACCTCGGGGATAATTTGGGAAGCCAAATATTCCTTGTCGTTCATATTAAGAGCCATTTTATTTAAATTTTTCGGAAATTAATTAGCTTCGTTCAAATTTTTTGTGCTTATATACCCTCGTCTCGCTTCGATAGTGTCAAATCGCTGACCTACAATCTCCTTCATCTATTTTTAAAAATGAAGCCAAGCCGACTTTGAAATGAAATGAAACCGGTTTTGAATATATTTTCTACAATAATAAAAAGCCACGCCTCTTTTGCGGTTAGATATATATCATTTTTATTTTCTAACCTCATTCTACTTAATTTACAACAAATTACTTTCATATTTCAATATATTTTTATTTAATTTTTTAAAATTTAAAATATGATACAGAACAGTTCATTGGGTGAGAAAAATATTTTTATTTTAAAAACATTTAAGTTCCTATTGTAGAGGATGTGGATTGTGAACAAACCAAAGAAATTTCTGCTAAAAAACCTGTCAAATTAGAAAGGAATAAAGAATCATGTGGTCAAAACTCCTTAGGTATTTTAATAAAATAAATGTTTTCAATAAAAAATTTTTTAAGACGCAACGATTACTAATCCTTCTGTGGGTATTAATGATACAAAAATTGTTAAAGAAACTACTGTTTGTGGACCAGTTGTTAAAAAACAACTTTGGAAACTTATACGTGGAAAATTTTTAATTACCTTCTACCTTTGTCAAGGTAAGAACAATTAAAATTATATTCAAAAATTAATTTGTTTTTCAGAATGCCAAAACAATTTATTTTACTCACAAGAGAAATTTGGAGAAAATTCTACAGGTATTACATTAAAGATTGATCTATGTAATAAGTGTGTCGACGCTAACTGTAAAGCTACAGATATTCTTGCACCATATAAAAAGATTGGTCAAAAAAGAAAAGCCGATTAAATTAATTAAAATTGGAAAAATAAATTTTGATTCTTAATTGCTAACTAAAGAACCTATTTAAATTTAAACGAATAAAATTGTTTAATGACAATAAAATTATTTAAATGTATTAATTTCTAATAATCCGAATAATGAAATCTAAGACTCAATTTTTCTTATTAAAGTCAATTTTTCGAATTCAATATAATAAAAGAGGAATTAGAGTCAAATTGATACTTTGCATCTCTAACCTCGATTATCACCATTCAATACCTTTCATCTCAACCAAGCCCTACCAAATGAGCCACAAGGGTATTAAAAATACTTTAATAGTTTGATTTTAAATGTAATAAATTATACTTATATTGATTGATTATAATTCTTATGAAAATTGATATTAGACTCTATACTCTAGATAGACTCTATTGACTCTAACTAGACATTTCAATATCTCTTCTGAACACACTTATCTTTACTATATATTATCTAAAAGAATAGAAGAAAAACAATGTCTGACTAGAGATTGATATCTCTGCTCTTCACATCTTTCTTTACACTACAATAGGAAAAGAAAAGAGAAAGGAGAGAAGTTCAAAAATCAATCTTTTGAGTCAGGCTAAGGAGGAAAAAGGGAAATTAAAAATTTCAAAGTTTTTAAACCTAATATAAATTTCTAGCCTAACTTAAATTTTAATAATCTATACTTACACCCTATCTAAAAATTATATAAAAATATTCAAAGACATTTAATAATATTTACTTTTTAAAAATTTAAATGTTTAAAATATTTTTAAATTTTTATTCTTTATTAATTTCTTTAAATTTCATTAATTTCTTCTTCATTAATTTCTTTATTCCTTAAAAAGATGCTCGGGTGGATTCCATGGCTACCAGAGTTTCCATCTTTTTAAGCGTCTGTGCTGCTCGTGGATCCACAAATTTAGGAGCTGGGCGGTTCTACAAAAGAATATAAAATTATTTAAGAAATTTACTTATTTAAATTTAATAAATTATTATTAATTTGTAAAATTATTTTACCTCAGAACGCACATCAATAACTAATGGACCAGGTAACCCAGCTTCACGAACATGGGCCTTAAATTGATAATTTAGATAAATAAAGTATGTTATTTTTAATTAAAAAGTACCAGTTCAGCAAGTGGAATATTTTGAATAATTTGTTGTTGTTGTTTTTGTCGTTTTTGATGTTGTTGGTGAGTTACTTTTTTGCGGCGATAGCATAAAGAGAACAACTGAATTACAAAAATAGATAATTTATTAGAAAATTTAGGATTACTTTAAGACCCAGAGAGAGTATAATGAGCAAAAGTATTGTATTTAAAATAAATTTTTCGTAGCCCCCAAAACCAGAATTAATATAATTTTCTGGACGGGCCAAGAAATTATCAAACTCGGTAGGCGGAACAGTTGTGGGGATGCACAAACGAGGTTTGCTGTACGCCTCGGGTCGGATACAGTGCTGACCCGAGGTACAAGAGCAGTTAGTAAATGTCCAGTTCATTTTAGAAAAAATTAACTAAATAAAAATTTTAGGAAAACTTTATAAAATAAATCAAATGAATCATTATACTCTCTCTATTATTTACACAAATTTTCACGTAAACACCTATTTTACAACAATTTTTTGACTAATTTACATAAATTGGCACAAAAGAAAGCTTACATTTATTGAAAGAAACATATTGGTCCAAAAGATCAACACAGATCAACACTGTAAAAATTACGTAACCAAACTCTAGGGCTTTTATTATAAACATTTATCTTAGGGAACATTTTTTGCGCCAACTAGCCAAAAAATGGAAAAAAGGATTAGGTAAACATCTGTGTACAAATTAAAGTACACAGAAAAGATACCCCCAAAAGATCAACTCTTTGATCTTAAAATAATTAAAAAAAAATAAAAAATTTTATACAAAAATCAAAATAGTAATTGTCTCGTTCCACTCATTAAATTTGAAGCTCTAAAGAGAGCCGTTTGGGTTTAAGATCCATTCCATTTGAGTCCATGCATCTTTTCAAAAAAAAATTTTTTGGTAAAGAATATCCGTCATCAATAAATTTGTATCAATTAAAGAAAAAAAGAAGGGAAGGGGAAAGCTGAAATTATTAATTATTCCTTAAAATCGCCCTACCCCTAATTAATTCAAACAATCGCATTTCTTTTCCCTTCTCTCAATTTGTAAAATCGTCCCCCTCCAAAAAAACTGTTAAAAGATTGCGGTTAGGGTAAGGGTCAACAACTTAAAAAATCCCCTCCCCACCACACACCAATACTGTCAAAAGATTGCGGTTAAATGGGAAGGGTCAACAAATTACTCCTTAAAAACCCCCTTCCTCCTACCCCTCCCCAACCACTAATTTGAAAATCCTCCCCCCTCCTACCACCCACTCACTCAATAGGATTAGGATAGCTCGCGCGGACCCCTCCCCCACCAAAGCTGTCAATAGGTTTAAGCTAGTGCGCGAAGATAAATCATAATTAATTGCGGTTAACCACCCATCCAAAAGGATGGCGGCATCCCTTTGTGCGCAAAACGTTGGGTTAACTACTCAGAAATCGGAAATCAAAATTTTTTCGGAAATCGGAAGGAAAAAACGTCGGAAATCGGAAGATGGAATTCCGACCCACCTCTGGTCAGGTCTTGATCAGTTAAAAAAATTTCATTTAGCCAAAAACTGATACCCCATGGAAAACCAAAATTCATTAGAAAATGTCGGGTCTCAAATTAGGGTTTTCAAAAAATTTTCTTCGGATGGATATTTCAGGTAATAGAGAAAAAACCCCGGCCCATCTCTCTCTCCCACACATAAACCTATACTAAAAATAAATTTATCATTCAATTCTCACAATTAAAACTCTAAATGCTGGCAACTTATTTTCAGAACCTGGCGGCACATAAACAAAACCATAGCCTTCTTTAATGTATACAGAAAATTCAATTTTTGGATTGTAAATATTGAAAAGTTGAAATCTTGTATATTGAACATCGCCTTTAACTGTGACTTGTAAATTTTTTGCTATTTTACTTGAAAGTAGAGGTCCATACATTGCGACAAATTTAATTCTTTTTACAATTTTTGTTATGTCTAGAGCTGTTTCTATATGCTAAATAAAATTAATTAAGGTTTTTTTGTCATTCAATCAATTTCCATTCGAACAACACATATTATAGAGATATAAAGATCCGGAAGGTGTGGTTTAGCCCTAAGGTACTGAACAAAATAAACTGACCATTTTGAGCTCTAAAAATAGAACAATCTTACCGAACCCACCCTAGTTAATGCCAGTCTTTCTGTTACCAATTTTAATGTCATTCGATTAAGCTAACCACGAATGCCATAAAAAAGATCCGGAAAGTCTGACTTGTCCCTAAACTGACCATTTTGAACCCTAACAACTTTATTAAAAATAGGCTAAAAAATTTTGGTGAGCAATCTTAAAGTCCCATCCCTAGTCTCCCATATAAAAAAATAATCATAAAAACCTCTATAATAAAATTGTAAAGTTTTGAGTCAAGAACTTCAAGTGTAATACTAGAAAATTTGTTTCCTCCATAAGCCAAAATTTTGAATAAAATGCCCACATAATTTTCCATGTCAAAAACTACAGAACAAATATCAACAAAAATATGATTAGTAACCAAATGATTCCAAACAAAATTTAAAGAATTTAGCTCGTAAAGATATAAATAAGTTTTTTGTGAATGAATTTGTAGAGGAACTTTGATGTCATCACCAAATAACAATTCAATCATTTTTGGGTTAATTACAACTATATGAATTATAAATAAATGGAAAGAACAGTTAAATAGTAGTTGGAAAAAATAACGAGCAATTTTCATTTCCTCGATATTTTTTGGATATTTTGACAATTGAAAGTAGTATAATTCTGAAAAAAAATTTTTTAAAAATCCATCCAAGATAAACCCATCATTTAACTGTAACTTAGAAACCAGGAAACAGCTAATTCGTCAGAAAAACGATACTTGTGGGATATTTTGCGGTATTTTTTATTTGCGGACATAATGAGGAAATAAATCATAATTGCTCGGGGAACTATTGGGCTCTTTTTAGGGGCATTTTCCGCTTTTTTGATCGATTTCGCTTCATTTTTGACCCCTTTTTTGAAAATCCATGCCCCTTTTTGGTGATTTGAAAAGGGGAAAAAATCTAGAAAAAAAACCCAAAAATTTCCAAATTTTAGTTTACAAAAAAAAAGTTCTCCATTATAACCCTTACCCCTCAAATATACCCCTCAAATATCAAGTCAAAAACCTCTTTCCGAATAATAATTTTGTTCCAATTGAAAAACAGCGACTTCAAAGTTTCCTTTACCAACAGTTTGTAAAAACATGGGAATCGATTGTTCTATTCCACGTTTCCACTAAAAAAAATTTTTTTTAAAGTTTCCACAAAATTTTAATTAAAAAAAACCTTCTTTTCAAGTTCTCCAGTCAATTCGAAATCATAAAATTCTCGTTCAATTTTAATAAAGTTTAGCTTCTTTTGATCACAAAATCCAAAATCCCGCTTGTCTTCATCCAATTTAAAATCATAAAGTTTAATCCGTGGATGACGCCTTTTACGCTCATTTATATTTGGGTCATCTATAGAAAACTAAAAAAAGATAATTAATAGGGATCGGATTTTTGGGTTGTAAAAACCTAAAAAATAGGTACCTAAATAGGTTAAAAAAGGCTAAAATAGGTTCAAATAGATGATAATATCGGAACTTTTTCGCGTCACTCGAAACTCAACGCTTGACACGGAGTATTGTGGGAGAGTGCGCTTGACGCTCGACAAAACGCTCAAAAGAACGCTTGACACGGATGTCATTGTGGTAGTAGCCTTAGAATTCCTTCCCCGCCTATCCCTAATTAATAGTAGTGCATTTTCGGAACCAGATTTTAGTACCGGATTTAGCAATATTTTCGGATCTAATCATGCTCGGAATATAGGAATTTCAAAGAGCCAAAATTTGGGGTTTGTTAAAAAATCCGTTAACGGGTCCCTTCGTGCTGCGTACTAATTATTTTCGAAATTTATTTTATAAAAAAAAACCAAATTACAATTTCAAGCTTGTCAAATTCCTTCCTCGCCAAAACTTTTCCATGTTCATTCACAAACTTTTTGAAATAAACACTTGTTTGTTGAACATCCAATAATTGAGTAAAATCATGGCATTTAAATACATCCAACTGAATTTCTGGTGGAAGGTCAAATTTTGATTTTCTAATTTTAATAGCATCAGGCACCTTGTCTTCCCCAACTGGATACATTTGCAGTTGAAACCATTGACCTTCCTAAAAAAATTAATTTTTTTTATGTAAACGTTTGAATATTAAATTAACCTCCTTATAATATTTAACACCCTCGTATTCAATAATTTTTCGATCCTCGCTCATTTTTTTCTGCAAAAATTAATAAAAAACCTTTAAAATTTAATTAAAAAAATAAATATTGCCGAAATTAAACGAATCGCAAAAAGCAAAGAAAAAAATTCAAAAGGAAAATGTTTATCAAAAAAATGCCAAATTTTAAAGCTCAAAATTTTAATATAAATAAATTAAACTTCATATCCATATCAGGGGTACACGCAATTGAAAAAATATTTTCCACAGCAGCAGTCCGCAATTTTAATTTTAAAATCCGCAATTGTGTGCAGCCCGAATCTGGGACACGCCCAAGTAGGCGCGCGGCCAGGTGGGCGCAAAGCCATAGCTACCTGGAAAATTTCTGGACCTTGATAATTTTGGTACCATTCTCTTTAGCTCGATGAGAGGAATCATTTAATACTAAATTTTGAAAGATTTGGAAATTTTGAATAAGTTATAGCTTTGCGCCTACTTGGCCGCGCGCCTACTTGGGCTGTACCCCCTAATCTATAAATATAAATTTATATCAATCAATTCTCTTAATTGAAGCAACAACTGCTGGAACTATATTAAAAGGTGTTCCAAAACCTCCCAAATTAATATTTTCGCCTTCTTTAATGCATATAGAAAACTCAATTTTTGGATTGTGTTTATTGACAAGTTGAAATTTTGTTTCTTTTTTACCCTTCTCTTTCTCCTTGATTTCAATATTTTTTGCACTTTCACTTGAAATTAGAGGTCCATACATAGTATCAAATTCAATTTCGTTCACCATTTTAGCAACATCTTGTGAAGTTTCTATATGCTAAAATTAATTTTTTAAATTTAATTTTTCCAGATTTTTTTCAAAAATTTAGTCACAGCTTCTGCCAGGCCCGTATAATGGAAGATGGGATTTTTCCTGGTTACAAAAACTGGTTTCCATTAACTTTGACTTAATTGAGCTATTTTGGATGGCACAAATCTTAAGAAAAAAGACCGGGTAGAGTAGTTTAACCCTAGAATACTAAACTGAATGAAGTGACCCTTTTGAACCCTTACAATTTTATTAATGTACAAACCTTTACAATAAGATTGTAAAGTTTTGAGTTAAGATGTTGATAAGTAATAGCAGGAAATTTATTCGCTCCATCTGTCAAAATTTTGAATAAAATGTCCAAATTTTTTTCCTTGAAACGATCATCAACATCAATGCAAAATCGATTAGTAACCAAATGATTCCAAGCAAAATTTAAATATTGTTCCCCGTAAAAAGATAGTTTGACACTTTGAGAATTAATTTGTAAAGGCACTTTTGTTCCAATTTCATTATCAAATAATAATTCAACCATTTTTGGATTAATTATAACCAGATAAATTTCAAACAAGTCGAAATAACAGTTAAATAGCAGCTGGAATAAATAACGAGCAATTTTCATTTCCTCGATATTTTTTGCAAACCTTGAGAATTCAAAGGAGTATAATTCTATTATAAATAAAAACTTTGTGAAAAAAAATATTTTTAATTTAAATAAAAATCCTTAGTTAGAAAAAAAAAACGCCGAGTAAAAATTTTATTTTGGGCAAACTTGAAATTCTATTTGAACCAAAAACAGAAAAGTAAAGTCAAAATTAACTACAGCCTAGAACCGAAAATTGATAATTTGGGAAAGATGCAAGAAATTGTGAGGTGTCCGAGCTAAAAACCTCGCAACATTCCCTAGTTAATAAAAATCAAAGTCAAACCTTTTTGCCCTTTGTAATTTCGTTCCAATTCACAAACAACAGTGTTTGTGTCTCCATTGTAAATTCGCCCCCATTGTAAAAACATAGGAATTGATCTTTCTATTGCACTCTTCCACTAAAAATTGGACTATTTCAAAAAAGATAATTAGATACCTTCTTTTCTAGCTCTTCACTCAATTCAAAATTATAGAGTCGAGGCTCCGGTTTAAAGAATTTATGCTTCTGTTCCCACAATCCAAAGCCACAAGGCCCATGCTCATCCAATTTAAAGTCATAAAGTTTATGCCCCGGCTTACACCTTCTATACCGATTTATAATTTCATTATTGACAAGATGCTAAAAGATAATTAATAGAGTAAATGGATAAGGAAAGAGGAATCAAGCTGGCAAGGAGTGAAATTAAGATCCTTAAAAGAAAAGGCGAAAAGTAACTAGTCAATAAAGCAGTGTTGTGAACGAAAAACCTCCTATCAAAAATAAGCCGGCCTCAGTATCTATGTACGCCCGGAGTCAAACTCTTATTTCCCCCTTATTTTAGAAAGAATTTATAAAAACTAAATTACAATTTCAAGCTTGTCGAACTTCTTCCTTGCAAACGCTCTTCCATGTTCATTAATAAAATTTTTGAAATAAACATTGGTTTGTTGAACATCCAATAATTGAGTAAAATCAGGGCATTTAAATACATCCAATTGAATTTCAGGTGGAAGATTAAATTTTGATTCTCTTTTAGTTTTAATAGCATCAGGCACTTTGTTTGCTTCAACTAGATACATGTACAGTTGATACCATTTGCCTTTCTAAAAAATTTATTTTTAAAATTAAATATTAAATTAACCTCTTTGTAATATTTAAGTCCCTCGTATTCAATAATTTTTCGATCCTCGCTCATATTTTTTCTCAAAAAATTATAAAATATTTAAAAATTCAATGAAAAAAAAGTATTGTCGTTACTAACGATTAAAAAACAAGATAAAATTTAAAAGAAAATTTTTCAAAAATGTCAAAATAAATCTCAAATTTTTAATAAATGCAACAAAAAATAAATTACACAAACTAGATATAAGGGGATAGGCTGTGTTGAGTAAAAATTTGTGTTTCGGACCAAAAAAGAATTTTTTTTGGCGCTGGTCTAGTTCATGCGTCCAATGAACTTTTATGCGTCCCAACAAAAAATTGGATTTTTCTTGATGTTACAAAGTTTGGGTATGGTTCCAAAACATTTTTTTCATATTCGGGACCTACGCCCACTGGGTCTAGGGACCATTCCTTTCCCTATCCCTCTAAATTTCTGAAAGTTCATAAATTTAAGTTCATGGAACCAGCTCCATAAATCTATGACAATCCTTATCAATGACAACAATTTTCGGCGAGGAATTTCCAAAATCTGGTGACACATAATCATCATCCTCCTCATCATAATAGCCATCAATAATGCCTATAGAAAACACTATTTTTGGATTGTGTTTATTGAAGAGTTTAAATCTTGTAAATTCCATATCGCATCCAACCTTGACTTCAACATTTTGTGCTCTTTTACTTGAATTTAGAGGTCCATACATTTTATTAAATTTAATCCCGTTCACCATTGTAGAAATGTTTTGTGATGTTTCTATATGCTAAAATTAAATTAATTTTTTAAGAATAAATTTTTTTAATTTTTTCAGGAATTCTAATAATGTCAGTTTCCTGTTGACTAATTTTGGTGTCATACGATTATGATCACTTTGATCGACAAAAATTATAAAAATCTAACAAGGAAGCATGTTACAGTGATCACGAAATTTGCTATATTTTTTGGTACCATTCGATAGAGGACCCTCGATTTCCGATTGTTGTGTGCGGGTTTTCTTGCAAAATTAGTTTGGGCGGAGTTATGGCCGTTCAAAGTTTCAGTCCTTAGGTTGGTTGAGTATAAGGAAAATAGGGAAAAGAAACGAGCTATCACTCGTGGTTTATCCGTAAAGCACTGAACAAAATAAAGTGACCATTATGAGCCCTAATAACTTATTGAAAATAGACTGCCATTACTAAGAGGACCCTCGATTTCTAAAAATGCACAGACCTCGATAATAATATTGTAAAGATTTGAGTTAAGATATTCAAAAGAAACTTCAATGAATTTGTCTCCACCACACGTCAAAATTTTAAATATAATGTCAATATTTTGTTCCAAATCAAAGCTCTCGTTAAATACAATGAAAAAATGATTAGTTACCAAATGATTCCACATAAATTCTACAAAAAAACGCTCGTAAGTATGTAGAAAAGTTCCTTGCGAATGAATTTGTAATGGCACATTTCTTGCAATTTCATTAGCAAATAATATTTCAATCATTTGCTGATTAATTATAACATGACGAATTTTAAAAACATGGAAAGAACAGTTAAACAGCAATTGAAAGAAATAACGAGCAATTTTCATTTCCTCAATATTTTTTGGATATTTTGACAATTGAAAGTAGTATAAAGCTGAAAATGAAAATTTTTAAAACTAATTTTTGGTTAATGTTTGCAGAGCTTTACAATGGACCAATGTCTACCATACATTCGAATCTATTATTTTCTTTGACACCATTCTATAGAGGACCCCCTAATCCCGATTGCGAAGTGTTATCTATCTTCTTGAAGAGAAAATATCTTCTAGGCAACCCTTAGGGGGACCAGAAAAAGGTTATGGGACCAAAAGATTTCCTATTTATTTTCTAAAGTCGATTATAACACCAAATAAAATCTCAACCTTTTTCCGTTTCGTAATTTCGTTCCAATTCAAAAACAACGGTGTTTACGTCTGTATTATTAGATGCTAAAAACATCGGAACTTTTTTTTCTATTCCATCTTTCCACTAAAAAATGATTTAAAAAATGAAAACAAAAATTTAAAAAACCTTCTTTTCCAGTTCTTCACCCAATTCAAACTCATAAAGTCGAGGCTCTGGTTTAAAGAATTTATATTTCTGTTCACACATTCCAAAGTCACAAAACCTATGTTCTTCCAATTCAAAGTCATAAAGCTTCGGATACGGTCTATAATGTTTATATGCATTTATAGTTTCCTCATTGATATGAAGCTGAAAAAATCATTAGAATTACTAGTAATTCCAAGTTAAATCCCCCTCTCCTGTTGTGTATGGGCGTCAGCCCTTAAAGTGATTAGTATAAAAGCCCAGCCAATAGTTAGTTCTCGCTCTCAGTTTTAGTTCTTCCTACAACCTTCGCCTGCTTTGTATTTCTTTGTGTGATAAACGTTTCTGTTAGCTTCCTCTTCGTAAGCGGGGTCGTAACATCTCCTTTCAATTAATCAACCTCTCAATCAAATTCTAAAATTCTAATCAAATTCTAAAATCAAATTCTAAACATCATCATGTTAGTAAAGGATTTCGAGATTAGAACCCCGATCCGAAAATAATTCGGCAGATTACGAAATAACCCTGAGTTTCCGGTATAGGTTTCCTGTCTAACGCCATGAATTAAAATCATAACCAAATTGCCATTTCAAGGTCACCAAATTCCTTCATAGCCAACACTTTTCCATGTTCATAAATAAAATTTTTGAAATAAACATTTGTTTGCTGGACAACCAATAATTGAGTAAAGTCAAGAAATTTAAATATATCCAATTGAATTTCCGGCAAAAGATTTATTTTCGTAGGCTTTTTAGTTCCAAACACCTTGTCTTCTTTAATTGGAAACATTTGATACCATTGGCCTTCCTAAAAAATTTAATTTTTTACTGAAACATTAAGTTGTTAATTAACCTCTTTACAATATTTAACCCCATCTTGTTCAATAATTTTTCGATCCTCGCCCATTTTTTACTAGATACTTAATTTGGTCAGATCTTTAAATTTGATAAAAAAAATATTGCCAATTAAAAAAATGTTCATAAAAAAGTGAAATTAAAACTATTTTTTAATAAAAAATGGAAAAAATCTTACAATATAAATGTTTCCATTTAGTATCTTCATTGAGTGAACAACATAGGTAAATTATTTAAATTGCGCGAACGAATTGAGCGAATTGTTTGGGCCAAGAAACTAAGCGAACTACATAAATTACACAAATCTAAAAAAAGATGAGTAGTGTTCTTACTCATTCACTTCACTTAATTACCGCATCAACTACTGGCAGCATAATCTTCAAAAATTGTCAAATTAGTCATTCACCTCTTTTTCTTATTACTGGTGGTTTAATTAACATCTTTATCGTATTTTACTCCCTCGTGTTCTATAATTTTTCGAGTATCACTCATTTCTATCTGATGCTATAAGTTGATTAAACCTTTAAAAATTGAATTAAAATAAATAAAAAATATTTTCGAATTAAACGAATTAAAAAAAATTGTGAAAGAAAAAAAGATTCATTAAAAAATATTTGAATTTATTAAAAAAAAATCAAAAATTGAAAAAAAAATTTTTAATGAAAAATAAAATAAATTATACTGCACACACACACATAAATTTAAATCAATTAATTCTCTTAATTACAACGTCAACTGTTGGCACAAAAGTATCATAATCTTCTGAAGCTGTCAAATTAATATTTCCGCCTTCTTTAATTAATACAGAAAACACAATTTTTGGATTGTGTTTATTGACAAGTTGAAATTTTGTTTCTTTTTTACCCTTCTCTTTCTCCTTGATTTGAATATTCTTTGCTCTTTCACTTGAAATTAGAGATCCATGCATAGTATCGAGCTTAATTTTTTTCACCATTTTAGAAATATCTTGTGCTGTTTCTATATGCTAAAATCAGAAACCAATTAAATCTAAAATTCTTAAAGATTTGTAGGAATTTTCAAAAGCCTTGTTGACCAATTTTTGGTGGGGTATAAAATTCTCTGTCTTATATAAAAAGATTTTATCCTTCCTAAATTTAGGAAAACCAATATGGTGAATACCTTCTCTTGCCCTTATTTTATAATGATAATTTTTGTGGGTGTGAATATGAATGTGTCAGAATATAAAATTTTCTATTTCGTCATGAAATGACACGGGGCCTAGAGGTTTGAACAAAATAAACTGACCATTTTGAGCCAAAAAAATTTTTTAGTGAAGACAGGCTAAAAATTAAGTTTGGGCCCATAATCGACATGTTTCAGGCTACTTTAATAATAAAAATTTTACAAACCTCTATAATAAAATTGTAAAGTTTAGAATTTAAAAAATCATAAGTAATATTAGAGAATTTGTTTCCTCCATTTGCCAAAATTTTAAATAAAATGTTTAAACTTTTTTCTACGTCGAAGGTTTCAGATATTCCAACGTATAATCGATTAGAAACCAAATGATTCCAAGCAAAGTTTAAATTATGTTCCTCGCAAAGATATAGTTCGGCATTTTGAGAATGGATTTGTAAATGTTTATTTGTAGTAATTTCATTATCAAATAATAATTCAATCATTTTTGGATTGATTACAACAAGACGAGTTCCAAATAAATGGAATGAACAGTTAAAAAGTAATTGGAAGAAATAACGAGCAATTTTCATTTCCTCTATATTTTTTGGATATTTTGACAAATAAAAACAGTACAAGTCTAATTGTAAATAAAAATTCTTAGAAAAAAATCAATTGAAAATTTTATTTTGGGCAAACTTTAAACAGAAAAGTAAAGCCAAAATTAACTACAATTCAGAAAACCCGATGGTTTGACAAAAAATATTTTATATATAAAAGTTAAGTCAAACCTTTTCCTTGTTTGTAATTTTGTTCCACTTCACAAGCAATTGTGTTTGCGTCTTGATAGTCAGCTGTTGAAAACATAGGAATTTGTTTTTCTATTGCATTCTTCCACTAAAAAAATAGTCTATTTAAAAAAAATTATAAAAATCTAAAAACCTCCCTTTCAAGCCGTTTACTCAATTCAAACTCATAAAGTTGAGGTTTTAATTTAAAGAATTTAAACGTTTTTTCACACATTCCAGAGTCACAAGGTCTATGTTCTTCCAATTTGTAGTCATATAGCTGAGGGTCCTGCTTACACCTTTTATAGCATCTTATAGTTTCATTATCGACAATATCCTAAAAAATATTATTTATTTATCAGCAAACCACAGGTATTTTAAAATACATTAAAGTGGTGCATAAAAAACATAAAAATACAAAACAAAAAATGATGTGAAGTAGTGATGTTCGGGTATCCCGACTCCCGGCACCCGACTCGGGAAATTTCCCGAGTTTTTGGCCTCCCGATCCCGACCCCGACTCCCGATGCCAATTCCCGACTAAGTCGGGAAATTTTTACACCCCTAAGAATGGCTTTTTCTCATAAAACTTTATTTTTGAAAGGAAAAAATAAAGAAAAAAAAATAAAAAAAGAGAAAGGAAAAATAAAATATTTAAATTTTTTCCAATTTAACTATTGTTGAGACGTGGTTGAGTGGTTAAGTTGAGTGACTTCAGTTGCTTTGTTGGGGCTGGGTTCGAATCCAGGGCTGGTAAATGTTTTTAAATAATTTTTCCACCCAAAAATAAATGGTTTTAACATTGATTTTGATTTTAAAATTTTAAAGTTATTTTTTTCAATACTATAAACGTCAAAAAATTCCAGAAATATTGAGTTAGTCATGGATTTTCAAAAATTTTCGGCTGCGGCGCAGAAAATGAAAAATATCTGACTTCTTAGCAGTGATGGGCAAAGTTCCAGTTCCAGTTTCGGAACTAATTAGTTTTAGTTCCAGTTCCAGAACTGGAACTACGGAACTAACGATTATCTGGAACTAGTTTGGAACTAGAACGACGGAACTAGTAAATGTCTGGAACTAGCTTTGGAACTAGTTCTGGAACTAGTTCTTGGGGGTATATTTTTGACAAGATTCCCTCGATGAAGTTTCTTAAATTCTCAGAATGTTCGCTTGCAGCGCAGAAAAAGTGGATTTTTTGGCCTACGACCTTAGAAATTCTCAAAAATAAAGGACGAAGTCTGGTTCTTAGCCTTCGACTTAAGAAAATTTTCGCCTGCGGCGCGGACAAAGGATTTTAGATTGTCGAGAGTGATCATAACATCAATGGCATATCCAGGAGGTTAGATGTCTGGCTTCCTGACCTTCCAAAATTCTCAAAATTTTCGTCTGCATAGCAATTTTTTTGTTGTAAATTCCCGACTCCCGATCCCGACTCCCGAGGTCATTTCCCGACCCGACTCCCGTTTCCCGATTCCCGAGTTTTTTCTTCTCCCGAACATCACTAATGTGAAGCAACAACAAATAAAAACATATAAAAAATATATAAATAGTAAACAAACACTCGAAAAACTACACACGCTAGGGTTTAATGTCCTTAGTATTTTATAGAATATTATTTAATGAGACTTGCTATTTACTTGAGCAAGTGGAAAATTATTTTTCGGAAATGGATTCTGGATTTCACTGCTTAATAGTGATGTTCGGGAGAAGAAAAAACTCGGGAATCGGGAAACGGGAGTCGGGTCGGGAAATGACCTCGGGAGTCGGGAATTTACAACAAAAAAATTGCTATGCAGACGAAAATTTTGAGAATTTTGGAAGGTCAGGAAGCCAGACATCTAACCTCCTGGATATGCCATTGATGTTATGATCACTCTCGACAATCTAAAATCCTTTGTCCGCGCCGCAGGCGAAAATTTTCTTAAGTCGAAGGCTAAGAACCAGACTTCGTCCTTTATTTTTGAGAATTTCTAAGGTCGTAGGCCAAAAAATCCACTTTTTCTGCGCTGCAAGCGAACATTCTGAGAATTTAAGAAACTTCATCGAGGGAATCTTGTCAAAAATATACCCCCAAGAACTAGTTCCAGAACTAGTTCCAAAGCTAGTTCCAGACATTTACTAGTTCCGTCGTTCTAGTTCCAAACTAGTTCCAGATAATCGTTAGTTCCGTAGTTCCAGTTCTGGAACTGGAACTAAAACTAATTAGTTCCGAAACTGGAACTGGAACTTTGCCCATCACTGCTAAGAAGTCAGATATTTTTCATTTTCTGCGCCGCAGCCGAAAATTTTTGAAAATCCATGACTAACTCAATATTTCTGGAATTTTTTGACGTTTATAGTATTGAAAAAAATAACTTTAAAATTTTAAAATCAAAATCAATGTTAAAACCATTTATTTTTGGGTGGAAAAATTATTTAAAAACATTTACCAGCCCTGGATTCGAACCCAGCCCCAACAAAGCAACTGAAGTCACTCAACTTAACCACTCAACCACGTCTCAACAATAGTTAAATTGGAAAAAATTTAAATATTTTATTTTTCCTTTCTCTTTTTTTATTTTTTTTTCTTTATTTTTTCCTTTCAAAAATAAAGTTTTATGAGAAAAAGCCATTCTTAGGGGTGTAAAAATTTCCCGACTTAGTCGGGAATTGGCATCGGGAGTCGGGGTCGGGATCGGGAGGCCAAAAACTCGGGAAATTTCCCGAGTCGGGTGCCGGGAGTCGGGATACCCGAACATCACTACTGCTTAATTTACCCAGGATTTAAAACAAGGAGTCCAGAAATCACTCAGGACCCGGTGCTGGTTAGGTCAGAGCCTTGGCTAGACTGTGTTTTTATAAACAACTTACAATTTCAAGCTTATCAAATTTCTTCCTTGCCAAAACCTTTCCATGTTCATTAATAAAATTCTTGAAATAAACACTTGCTTGCTGAACATCCAATAATTGAGCGAAATCAAGGCATTTAAATACATCCAATTGAATTTCCGGTAACAAATTAAATTTCGATTGTTTTTTACTTTTAATATTAACAGGCACTTTGTCTTCTTTAATTTGCAGCATTTGATACCATTGACCTTCCTAAAAAATTAATTGTACTCTTTGTTATCTGCCCACATGTCTGCAAAAGTTAGTCCGCAACTTTTTGCTTCTTCCAATTTTATCTGCGCCGCAGGCGAAAATTAGGAAAATTTTGGAAGGCCATAGGAGAAAAATTTCAGTTTGTTTGCGTTGCAGACGAGAATTTTGCATATGCCGTAAGCATAAACTCCGCAACTGGGACCTAAGTCTCAATTACTTGTCGAATAACTATTAGTCTGTTTGCCTTATCCGTTTTCTAGATTTTGTAATTTTTTTTGAAAGAAAAGACAAAAGTTGCCAACTAATATTTGCGGACATTTACGCAGATAACATAAAGGACCAAATTAATTTTATAATTAAAACATAAAGTTAATTAACCTGTTTATAATATTTAAGTCCCTCGTGCTCAAACATTTTTCGATCCTCGCTCATTTTTGTGAAACAAAAGAAAAATAGCCTGATTGAAAAATTGAACTAAGAAAAATAATTTTAAAAAATTAACAAAGCAATTTTTAAAAATATTTAAAAAAATAATTTAAACAAATTTTTGAAAGAGAAACAAGAAAAATTTAAAATATTTTTATCACACAAAAAAAGTCAAATTAAAGCTCTAATTTCTTACAAAATAAAATAAACGCAACAAACAAAAATAAATTAAATTAAACACACAAAATACATATATAGTTGTTGTCGACCGGTTTTAACACCAAAAAAAATTTTTTTTCTGATATTTTTTTGCCAAAAATTAAGTGTTTTTTTGTGAGTTACGAAGCTAAAAATATGTTAAAGAGGATGCTTTTTCCGTAAAAAAATTTTCCCAAAAAAAAATCAAATATTTAAAACTAAAATTCAAAATCAAAAACCAAAGGGGGAGGGGTTTCAAAATCTAAAAAACCAAAAACAGAAAAGAAATCGGTTAATAAAACATGTCGCCAACACAACTCTAATAAATTTTACATACCTAAACTATTTAAATAAATTTAAATAAATCAGTTAATTCTCCTTATTTTAGCATCAACTCCCGTTTCACAATTTTCCTGACCTGGCGCATGAATTTTATTGTAATGTTTAGCAGATACAGAAAACACAATTTTTGGATTGTATTTATTGACAAGTTGAAATTTTGTAATTTTAATATTGTCTATAACCTCAATTTTAGCATTTATTGCATTTTCACTTGAAATAAGAGGTCCATACATACCCTCAAAATGAATTTTCTTCACCATTTTAGTAATATCTTGTGATGCTACTATATGCTAAAAACAAATAAAATTATAATTTTTTCACAAATAAAATTTTTAAATAATTTTAGAGGCCTGCACAGAGGTGGGGGAGAAGGAAAGGGGATTTTTCCGAAGTACGGATCTGGTCACCATTAACCAGAAAGTATATTAGATCCTAGGACCCAAATCAACATGTACCTACCCAAGTTAAAATTATACCCAATTTACCTCTATAATAAATTTTACAAACCTCAATAATTAAATTGTAAAGTTTAGAGTGAAGATACTCAAGATAAATACTAGAAAATTTATCGCCACCATTTGCCAAAATTTCTAATACAACGTCCGCCTTCTTTTCCACATCGAAATCAAAACGTTTACCAAATTCAATATTAAATTCATTAGCAACCAAATGATTCCGAACAATATTTAAAGGATGATCATCGTAAAACATCAAATCAGTTTCTTGTGTATGTATTTGTAAAGGGACTTTGACGTCATCAAATAATAATTCAATCATTTGTGAGTTAATTATTGCCAGATGAATTTCAAAAAAGGTGAAAGAACAATTAAACAGCAATTGAAAGAAATAACGAGCAATTTTCATTTCCTCGATATTTTTTGGATACTTTGACAATTGAAAATAGTATAAACCTAAAAATAATTTTAAAGGAAAATTCTTGATTGTTTGAAGGTTTCACAAAAAAAGGGTCTGACAGAGGACCATCGTGTACGTTAACTAAAAACATACGCTAGAGGACACGAAACTTTCCTATCACGAACGATATCCGGTCCCATGTAAAATGACTTGCCCGGTCAAATTTACAAGGAGAGGTTGCGAGGTGTCCAACCTAAAAACGGTCAAGACCGGGATCATTCGATAGAGAATGTGCCCTTTCGAGCAAGGATTTTGAGCCGTTTTTGTCCATTTTTTGACACATTCTCTATCGAATGAGTCCGGTCTCGACCGTTTTTAGGTCGGACACCTCGCAACCTCTCCTTGTTAAATTTTTGGAAGCGTTTGAGTACAAGGAAAAGAATGAAAAATTACCTTTCGGCTAACTTAAAAGTTTATTTTTGAACATCCATGTTCAATTTTTATAAGCGGGAACCAAAAAATTTCCAATTACCCAAAAAAATTTAACTTAAAGTCAAACCTTTCTCCAATTTGTCATTTTGTTCCAATTCACAAACAACAATGTTGGTGTTTACGTATGGAGTAAGACTCGTTAAAAACATTGGAATTGAGTTTTTTATTCCATCTTTCCACTAAAAAATTTGATTTAAAAAATAAAAACAAAAATTTCAAAAAACCTTCTTTTCAAGTTCTTCACCCAATTCAAACTCATAAAATCCAGGCTCCGGTTTAAAGAATTTATATTTTTGTTCACACATTCCAAAGTCACAAAATCTGTGTTCTTCCAATTCAAAGTCATAAAGCTTAGGCACCGGCTTATGCTCTTGATATCTATTTATAGTGCTATCACTTATTGGTAGCTAAAAACGTAATAATTTAACATAGTGTAAGAAAGAAAGATCAAGCTGGCAAGGAGTAAATTTAATCTTCTTAGAAGAGAAGATGAAAGTACCGCCTCAGTTCCTCAGTCAATAGAGAAGTGGTAAACGAAACCCCTTAGCAAAAACTTGACGGCCTCTGGATCGATGCCCACCCAAAGGCCCAAACTTTAATCTTTTCCTAATTTTAAAATAAATTTATAAAAACAAGTTACAATTTCAAGCTTATCAAATTTCTTCATAGCCAACACCTTTCCATGTTCATTAATAAAATTTTTGAAATAAACATTTGTTTGTTGAACAGCCAATAATTGAGTGAAAGACAAACATTTAAATATATCCAATTGAATTTCCGGCAACAAATTAAATTTTGATTGACTTTTAGTTCTAATATTAACAGGCAATTTGTCTTCTCTAATTTGCAGCATTTGATACCAAAGACCTTCCTAAAAATGAAAAAAAATTTTTTGAAATGAAGAAAATTAAATTAACCTCTTTACAATATTTAACTCCCTCGTATTCAACAACTTTACGATCCTGGCTCATTTTTTCCTGAAAATACAAAAATATTAATAAACGAAGGCTAGTTAATTGAAGAAAATTAATCAAACAAACTTACAATAAATTGGGGAACTTATGTAATTGGACCTAGCGAAAGCTGACCTATTTTTAGCGTGGCATTTTGTCTTGTACCATTTTGTCGCACGGATATTTTTTGTATTTCTCTCGCTTTCTAACCGTCTCTCTTTTTTCTATGCTATTTTTTCCTTGTTTATTTTATTTTGCGGATTTTAAGTAAAAAATTGGATTAATCAGATCCCTTCTGTTTATTTTTTAATTTAAAGGTTTATTCGATTTATTCTGAAATATACAGCAAAATATGACTGAGAACCGTACAACTGTCGAACACAATGGCTTTGAATATTATAAAGAGGTTAATTAAACTTTTAATTAGGGTAGCACCACGTCCTCCGACCCGAGACTGAAGCGAAAATTCAGCCTAAACGTGAATCCCGAGTGTCTCCCCAACCCTTGTTTCCCAACAATACTGACTCCGAGGAATCGTGGTGCTACTTTACTTTGAATCAAGAAATTCCTTTTAGGGAGATCAATGGTGCCATAGGGTAGCACCACGTCCAGTGACCTGACCCTAAACAAAGGTCAGCCCGAACTAGAATCCCGAGTGTCTCCCCAAACACGTTCTCTGACATAACCGACGCCGAAGGATCGTGGTGCTACCCTATAAAGATCTGTATTTCCAAAAATTTTGGATCTGGATCCAGGAAAAATCCAGGACGCTCAAAAAATGCTTGGATCTGGACTCTGGATCCAGGAAAAATCCGGACTGGATCCATGCCGATCTCTAATATTCTACTTTGAATCAAAAAAAAATTTTTTAGGGAGATCAATGGTACCAAACGTCAACTTTTTTTAAAGACAACTTTCCAATCAAGGAGGACAAGGTTCCTGATGAGGTTAAAACTAGATGGGGTGAATTAGTGCCTGAAGAAAGGGAAGATGGTCCTGAAGAAGCGAAGGAGTCTCAAGAAGTTTCTGAGAGGGCGACGTCTGAATTGCCGAAGAGCCAACCATCCAGGAGTCTTTCGAAAAAATCTGTTAAGACTAAGAAGCGAATTGTAAGTCTTAAATTTAATTTTTATTTTGTTTTTGAGCTTTGACTTTCAATTAGAATAGGGGATGGGTAAAAAGGCTTTGGGGGAGGGGGGGGGGTTTCGAATCTTTTTCGGAACTTTTATGGACTGAGTTCCTTTTTCCTGTTACTCCATACTTTCTTGAGGGATTTAGTTTTGAATCTTCCGAGTAGATTCACATCCTTCTAAGCTTTTTTCATGAAAGTCTGTTATGACTAACAATAAGAGTCGCAAAATGACTGTGTCTGGGCTATTTTTCAACCATAAGGATTTCAGGTTTAGGCCTGGGCCTATTTTTAGGGACGCCAACCGGACTAGATCCTTAGCTTTTATTCCTATTAAAAATAATACCAGGATGGCTGTTTCTGGACTCTAGCTCCAGAACAAGCTCAGGCCGACTCATTTTCCTTACCAAAATAACTCCAAAAATATTTTAACATTGTTTTAAAGATTCCACCGGTCGATCCACGCTTATCAAGAGAAAGAGATCGAAGCATGCCTGCACCCAAAAAGGCGTATTCCTCAGTTAATTTCACTTCTACCTCTTCTGCCGCAAGTTCTTCTAAAACTGCTGAAACTGTCGAGAAGGGAAGTCAGCCAATTATTGTGACGGACTCGTTGCAGTTAGTTCGACCGCTTAGTTTGTTTTGATTAATTAAGAAAAAGTTAAAAATTTTTTTGAAGGAGCTGAGCTTAAATGGAAGATGAGGACGAATGCTATGGAATTGGAGAAGCGAATGGAGATTAGAAAGGTTTTTTTTTTTAATTTTTATGATTAAGGAAATTGTTGACTTATTTTATGGGAGTTTGCTGGGGATTTTTTCGCAGATATTTAACTTTTTTGAAAACTTGGTTCTTTAGGATATAGGTAGATTAACAAGGAAACATTTTTGAACTGCAACCAAAAACTTTGCATTTTTTTGCACCGCCGTGTAGAGCAGGGTCAATAACCTATTGTCAATTTTCGGCTTTTTTTTGTCCCTGACTTCCAATTCGAGAATTCAAAGTTTTCGAATTTTGGAGTGGTCGAGTCTCCCGTATTTTTTCTATTATGCTCTACACGATAGTGCAAAGAATGCGAAATTTTTGGCTACAGTTCAAAATGTTTTCTTGTAAGTCTTCAATATTGTCGAAAATTTTTACAAAAATTTTTAATTTGAAAATGGGGTTTTTATAAGGAATACGGAATAAAATTAGGAGACGCGCCTTGTCAGTCTGATAACTGTCGAGTTTAAGCTATTTTTGTTATTTTTTAAAAATAATGGGATGACACCTTTTCTCTATTTAATTTTATATTCAAAATGGGAAGAATATCGACTTTTACAATATCAATTTTTTCAATCTTTTTTATTGCTTTCTTTTTGTAACATTTCTTGTACTTTTCCCCTCTTCTTTTTAAATATACATAAGCGCTTCTTTTCTCTCGAAACTTTATTTGCTTTATTTTTTTCTAAATTATTTATTGGGAAACAACGAGAATTTTATTTTTAGACTTCCATTTACATTTTTAAAGTTATTTTTAAGAAATCCCAATTAAAAATTTTAATGCAAGGCTAAAGGCAAAAATCCGCAAAAATCGTCCGCAAAAACTAAAAATAAGCCAATAAGCAATTAAATAATTTTGATTTCATCAAAATTATTTAAAATCCTTATTTAAACAATAATCACCCCCAAATTAAGAAAAAAAATAATTGGAAAATCAAGAAAAAAAAATCCGCAAATATCGTCCGCAAAAACTTGAAAGAACCCAATAAGCAAATAAATTTTTTCTGATTTCATCAAAATTATTTAAAATCCTTATTTAAACGATAATCACCCCAAAATTAAAAAAAACTAACTGGAAAATTAAGGAAAAAAATCCACAAAAAATTGTCCGCAAAAACAAAAAAATCTCCTTTAAAAAATTTTTTTCTTTGTAGAGCATTATGAATAACTCCGATGACAGGATCAAACCCTTTGAACCTAAAAAGAAAACTTCTGAAGAGTCTTTGGCTACTAGGAACGAAAATCGAATCCAGATGAATGTTAAGGCTGAGGAATTGAGTATAAATTTAAATTATTTTTAATTAAAAATTTTTTTATTTTTTAAAGTTTCAAAATTGGAGCGGATTAAAAGGAAGAGAGAACAACTTAACAATCGAATCCGGGGCGATGAAGGTTAATTTTTTTGAATTTTTTTTGTGTAGTTTGGAGGGGAGGGTTTATAGGGTACATTAGTTTGTGTGTAGTTTTGGTGTAGTTGGTTGAGGATGGGATTTGAAGTAAATTAGGTGGAGGGTTCGAACCCTATTACTTGTAAAAATTTTTTTATTTTTAAAAATAAATGTATACGAAATCGATTCCCTCGCTCAAACTCCACATCAAATTTGTCTTTTTTTTGGGTGTAGTTGAACGGGGTGGAGTGTATGGGGTTTTGGTATAGTGGGCTGGGGTTTTGGTTTTAGTTTGTTGGGGATGGGATTTGAAGTAAAATATTTGGGGACCCTACTACTTGAAAAAAATTTTTATTTCTAAGATAAAATGTTTTCGAAATGGATTCCCTTGCTCAAATTTCGTATCAAATTTGACTTTTTTGGTGTAGTTGGATAGTGTTGGGTTTTACACTTAAATAGGGGCATGGTTCGAATCCTACTGCTTGAAAATTAATTTTTTATTTTTTCTAATTTAAAATTTTTCAGAAATTAATCCTCCAGTCAAAGTTCCAAGAGGCATCAACTTTTTTGATGTAAATTTTTAAAATATTTTTTAAACAAAAAATTGTTAAAAATATCAGATTGAACGACTTGCGGATGTAGCTGCGGAACATAACGTTACTGTATTAAATTTGGATAAATTTATTTGCGCAACTGATAAACGAAAGATTATTTATAATGGTATATTATTTTTTTTGAAAAAATTAAAGAGAAAATTTTTTCTGGAAATTAAAGGAAATTTTTGGGGGTTTTTGAAATTTTTGGATTTTTTGGGTTTTAAAAATTTTTTAAAAAATTTTTGAAAATTTTTTTTTTGCCTTAAAAAATTTTTTCTGAATTTTAAAAAATTTTTGAAAATTTTTTTTTTGCCTTAAAAAATTTTTTCTGAATTTTAAAAAATTTTTCTTTAATAAAAAATAAGTAAATTTTTATTTTTCAGATAGAGGTGTCTGTATTTTCTGCGATGTTCACGGTGTTCGACAAATGAGTGATAAACATGTAGAGGATGAGGATTGCCCATTTTTCTTCTGTACTTGCGCAAACGTAAATTTCTGAAATTTTTCAATTTTTAAAATTAAATTTTTAAGTGTTATTTGGTCGGTAAATTGGGAGAAGCTGGACGTTTTCTTGAAAATAAATAATTTTTGAAGGAAAAAATTTTTTTGGTTTGATACTTTTTGATTCTTCTCTAGATACTTTAATTTATTTTTTTTCGTTTTAAAAAAATATATAAAATAAAAAGAAAATTTCCTTTTTTTGGTATTTAAAATAATTTCTCCTTTCCTCTCCTAGAAAATGTTGCCAGAAAAAAATAAATAAAAAAATAAAAAAAATTTTTTTTCTAAATGAGTGATTCATCTTAAAATGAAAACAGAAAGGAAAAATGTTTTTTACATAAAAGTTTTGGCATTTAAAAATATTAGTGAAAAAAATATAAGAATAATTCTGACGTATATTTAAAATTTTTAAATTTATTTTTAAACAAAAATAAGGGCTTTAATTATTCAGCTTTCCTTGTAAAAATCAGAAATAGTACATAATATCTATTTTTAAATTAAAAATTCTGGTTTTGTATTTTTGAATTCTGATGTGTGTTTTTACATAAATGTTCTGATAATTCTGATTTGTATAGTATTCCTTTTTAAGTGTAGTTTTATGTATTTCTGATTTTGCTTTATAATTACAATTCTTTCTACAAATTCTGTTTTCTGACTTAGTTAGAAATTACAAATTCTGATTTAATAATTACAAATAACAAATTCTGATTTTTATTTACAATTTACAAATTCTGATTATAATTATTACAAAATATAAATTCTGATTTTATTAAAAATTACAAATTCTGATTTAATTATTCTGATTTTTATTTAGAAATTACAAATTCTGGTTTTTACAAAATATGTACAATTCTGACTTCTATTTTTATTTTGGAGCAATTTTGAGTTTTATTTTTACAATTTACAAATTCTGATTTTTATTTTTTACAAATTCTGATTTTATTTAAAAATTACAAATTCTGATTTAATAATTATAAAATACAAATTCTGATTTTTATTTTTTTACAAATTCTGATTTTATTTTTATTCTTTCCATGTTTGCTCATTTTCACGTCTTTTTTCCTTCTCATTTTCCCACTTTTTAAATTATTTGCGCAATCAGAAGGGCCTTGAACGGAGATGTAAAATAAATAAATACATATAAGAGCAATAATAAAAAAAAGTTCCGCTACCCGCGTCCACTAAATAGGCGTAAAAGTGTTTATGTTTAGTAGATCGATTTTGGTTTGCGCATTTTTTTCCATTTATTAATTTTTTTAAATAATTAAAAAAATTTTTTCGCTGGAATTTAACTCAATTTTAACGTTCTCAAAGTTGATCACCCCAAAATTCCCAAATTTTTTCTTTTTTTATTGGTCAAAGGGAAAGAATTCCTCTAGAAAATTCCTTTCACTAATTCTTTCATTCACTCTTCTTCAATGTCATCCACCTTCCTTCTCACCCTTCCTTTTCACTCTTCCCCTATCCTCCCAATCCCTTCCTCTCCAAATCCCTTCTCAATCCGTCCTAATCTCATCCAAAAACCTTGAACCAAGGTCATTAAACGAGTCATATAAAATTTTTCAAGATGAAAATCAACCCAAAAATTCGATAAAAATAACAAGTAAAAATGCGCGAAAATTTTTAACAAAAACTTCTCGAAAAATAAATATAAATTCAATTTTCCCTTTTAATTTTATTCACTCTAATAATCTTTAAAATTCTATTTTTATCCACAATAGACTCTCCTTTACACCTCACCTTTTCCTAGTCACTTTCATTGGTTCCGTGACTTTTGCGCCGTGAACATTTGCGCCGCGACTTTTGCGCCGCGAATTTTGCGCCGCGACTTTTGCGCCGAGCGACTTTTGCGCCGGGGGACTTTTGCGCCGCGACTTATGCGCCGGGCGACTTTTGCGCCGCGACTTTTGCGCCGGACGACTTTTGCGCCGCCACTATTATTACTAATTATAAAAAACTACAGCGGGCCTCACTATAGAAAGGCCGAATTCGGCTATCCGGCCTTTTTCAGATCCGGATATCTGGACCCGACAACCTTAAATATAGTGCACTCTCTTCTGGCAGAAAATCATGCTTGAATAGGGGTAGCAGACCAAATATCCTGATCCAAAAAAGTCAAGTTCTTTGAAGATGACACCTCTAGGGGGTCTGTTTATTAGAAGGGGCTATTGTACTTCCTGAAATATTGTACTTCTTGAAATTTCTTCAGTTCCTGGACGCCATTTTTTAAGACTTACACTATAATTATGTTTGACTGTATTATTTTTTATAATTATTGCGGCGCAAATGTCGCGGCGCATAAGTCGCCCGGCGCAAAAGTCGCGGCGCACAAGTCGCCCGGCGCAAAAGTCGCGGCGCACAAGTCGCGGCGCAAAAGTCGCCCGGCGCATAAGTCGCGGCGCAAAAGTCGCGGCGCAAATGTTCTCGGCGCAAAAGTCGTGATACCCTTTCATTCATGCTCAGTCCCGAAAGGTTTATTTTAGACTGATTTGGTCCTGTCTCCAACAACTCTTTACCCCTTTATGCCGGCAAAAAGCCTGAGAAAAATTCTGATATTTTTTCTGGTATGTGTTTTTGTTGCGTTTTTTTGTATTTTTTAAATTAGTTAACAAGACACTCAAACACCAAAAATACACTCAAGAAAACCAAAAATATTTTTTTTTACCTCAAGTTGTTCCCTTTCATTCCCCTCAATTTCCCCCTACAATAATAAGTCAAAATTGAATAGAGGAGAGGGAGAGATTGACACACTTTCCTTCTCTCTTTTGTATTTTTTCCTGCAAAGAGTTCTCGTCAATTTTTTTGCGCAATCATTTCTGCGCGAGAATTAACACCTAATATATAAACACGTTTTGGGAGAAAATATATAAATTAAAAAATAGAAAAATTAATAAATTCGATTGAAATAATAAAAACAAGCAAAATACCCCTAATAATCAAAAAATATTTTTTTATTCTGGTTAGAACAGTTTAAATTGTCCCAAATATCCTCTAGACCTACAATAATGTAATAATCCCGGTACGCCTCAATTGAATCCCGGACCCTATAATTTATGAAGGGATGGTCACTTTTTTTTGCACTTGATACCATTGGATAGGGCATTAAATAGGCTACAATATACCTAAAAATCAAAATTCCTGACCTAATGGTAAGAAAGTTATGATCGATAAAGTGCCGAAAAATCAGATTTTTTTGAAAAAATTAGTTTATAGAATTTTTTGAAAATTTTTTTCATAGAATTTCTTCATAAAATCAATCTTTCAATTAATTTTCAAAAAAAAATTAAAAAAATTTTCCAGAAAATTAAAAAAAAATTTCTCAAAAATTTTTTTTGTTAAAACGCCCAAATTAAAAAATACCCTAATTCACACCCCGCGATTACTTTCAGATTAATTAAATTATTAATTAAAAATGCTCCTTATTTTTATTATTAAAACTCCAAATAAACTCTATTAATTCATGAATAATCCCCCTTCAGCAGCTTCCCTTTGGCGGTGGTCAGCTTATGGATTCTACGGATTATCTACTAAATATTGCTTTTTATTAACTAATTTTTTTGCTGCAATAATTGCAATTATTACTTTTAGTTATGGTGCTTGGCTTTATGTTAATAGATCACAAGTAAGGGCGTTTTTTCTTGAGAAAATTTTTGACTTAAATACCCCTTGGGATGTCTGTAATCTCGAAGAATGAGGCTTATTAGTTCAGTTCCCCTTTCCAAAAACTGACAAACCCTAATTTTAAGTGGCCCATTAAACCTCTCCGTAGCATTAACAGACCCATGACAGCTTAAAAAAAGCGAATAGTGATAGGAGATATCGCAAAAGTAGAATAATTATAGGAGAAATAGCGATATAGCAAAAGTAGCTTTTTAAACGCACGGAAAATTTTAGCGTTTAAAAAGCTCAATTATAAATTAATATTTTTTTTATTTTTTCCAACACCTAATTTTAAGAAGTCTTGTTTTAATTTAACTACATTTTTCCCTTAAGAAAATACTTAGCTTATAATCATATAAAAATATTTAAAAATTAAATTTTTTAAAAGTATTATGAATTGTTAGCTCCAAGTTTATACGTCGACGTCTGCAGGGTAATTAAAGATAAATTTAAAAAATTCCATCAAATATTTTGAAGATAATGATGGTCATTTCCTTAATGTCCTTAGCAAACAGTGGTATTGCTGTATATGCTGTCCATCGGGAATTGAGATGCCTTATTTATTCGGTAACTAAATCTAATGTCAAAAAACGACTGTCTCTCTAAAGTTCTCGACAGCCTCGGCCATTCTTTGCTTCTCCCTAATTATTGGAGGCCTTATGGGCTTTGTATTCCGTCAAAAACTTGATCAAACCCCTCTCCATCTTAAAATGCTTACGTCTTTAAAAGAGCTTTATGGGTCTTCTGATATGCCAGAAATTACCTTTGCTTGGGATAGTCTTCAAAAAGAGGTAAAAATTTAAAGGAAGATTAGCCTCATTTTTAAAATTAACCTTAGTTTAAATGTTGTGGAGTTAATGGGACTGAGGATTATTCAATATGGCGAACCTCTAAATGGCATATGCATCAAAAGGCACCAAAGCCTGCCTTTCCAGATTCTTGGTAATTAAAAAAATCTTTATTAAATTATGCTCTTTAAACACGTGGAAAAACTGCGCTTAAAAAGCTGGTCCATAAAATTTGACTGTCCAGTTGATGATATAAACGAAGTGGCGTTATAGCCGTTAACAATTCTCTAGGAAACATCTGTATGGGGAATAACGGAATTATATTTCACTGGATAATGAATGCTTCATCAAAGGAAATTAGCGACAAGAAAAATAGCGAAGAAAAGTAGCTTTCTAAACGCACGGAAAAATTTTGTGTCCAAAAAGCTCATTCATAAATTTTTTGTATTATTCTCCAGTTGTATACCAACCAGTATAGAAGCATGCCAACGACTTTCACATTCGTTTGATGAAGCAATGGCTAATGGTCATTTACCTAATCACTTTCTAGCTGATGCTGGTTTGTATAAAAATCAAGAAAAAGCAGAAGCCATTACAACATTTGCAATTTCACATCATTTATCTCCCCCATTTTACACAAATACTTGCCATATGCCTTTTCGGAAAGGTGCATAATACAATTTTTAAGTGAACATACAAAATTACCAGAAAATCAGAATATACTAGAAAAATACAAAGTAATATCAGATAGGAAAAGTAGCTTTTTAAACGCACGAAAAAACCTAGCGTTCAAAAAGCTGATTTATGATTAATTAGTACTATCAGAGAAATAGGAAGAACAAAATTTTAGAAAAATCAGAATTATAAAAAATCAGAATTCATTAACCTATCAGAAAGTTCAGAACAAAATAAAAAACCAGAATTAATTTTATCAGAAAACATTTCCAACCAATTTCAGATCTTTTATCGGTGGTTCATGTTGCTGCTTGGCTTTGCGTTGCCTGCAGCCTTTCTTTGGTAAATTAATTGAAGCTTATATAATACATAATTAATATATATTTAAGCTTGTTCCAGCCATTTTTGCTGCCTTTTATGCCAAATTAATTAAAAAATAAATAAAATCAAAAAATGTGATACTATTTACATAATGCTTATTTTAGTGTAATAATGTGTATAAAAATGTTTTTAGATAAATCAGAATTTAAAGTAAGGAAGATGCAGATAAATTAAAGAAAATAGGATTATTTAATTGAAAACACAAGATTGCCAACAAATCAGAATTTAAAAAATCAGAAAGGAAAAGTTAAAAAGAATTAATTTTTCTCTTCCGGAATTAGATTTACAATTTGTAAAAATTAAATTTTCTCTTCCGGAATTACTTTTACAATTTGTAAAAATTAATTTTTCTCTTCCGGAATTACTTTTACAATTTGTAAAAATTAATTTTTCTTTTCCGGAATTTTACAATTTGTAAAAATTAATTTTTCTTTTCCGGAATTACTTTTACAATTTGTAAAAATTAATTTTTCTTTTCCGGAATTACTTTTACAATTTGTAAAAATTAATTTTTCTCTTCCGGAATTACTTTTACAATTTGTAAAAATTAATTTTTCTTTTCCGGAATTTTACAATTTGTAAAAATTAATTTTTCTTTTCCGGAATTACTTTTACAATTTGTAAAAATTAATTTTTCTTTTCCGGAATTACTTTTACAATTTGTAAAAATTAATTTTTCTTTTCCGGAAATACTTTTACAATTTGTAAAAATTAATTTTTCTTTTCCGGAATTACTTTTACAATTTGTAAAAATTAATTTTTCTTTTCCGGAAATACTTTTACAATTTGTAAAAATTAATTTTTCTTTTCCGGAATTACTTTTACAATTTGTAAAAATTAATTTTTCTTTTCCGGAAATACTTTTACAATTTGTAAAAATTAATTTTTCTTTTCCGGAATTACTTTTACAATTTGTAAAAATTAATTTTTCTTTTCCGGAAATACTTTTACAATTTGTAAAAATTAATTTTTCTTTTCCGGAAATACTTTTACAATTTGTAAAAATTAATTTTTCTTTTCCGGAATTACTTTTACAATTTGTAAAAATTAATTTTTCTTTTCCGGAATTACTTTTACAATTTGTAAAAATTAATTTTTCTTTTCCGGAATTACTTTTACAATTTGTAAAAATTAATTTTTCTCTTCCGGAATTACTTTTACAATTTGTAAAAATTAATTTTTCTTTTCCGGAAATACTTTTACAATTTGTAAAAATTAATTTTTCTTTTCCGGAATTTTACAATTTGTAAAAATTAATTTTTCTTTTCCGGAATTACTTTTACAATTTGTAAAAATTAATTTTTCTTTTCCGGAAATACTTTTACAATTTGTAAAAATTAATTTTTCTTTTCCGGAATTACTTTTACAATTTGTAAAAATTAATTTTTCTTTTCCGGAATTACTTTTACAATTTGTAAAAATTAATTTTTCTTTTCCGGAAATACTTTTACAATTTGTAAAAATTAATTTTTCTTTTCCGGAATTACTTTTACAATTTGTAAAAATTAATTTTTCTTTTCCGGAAATACTTTTACAATTTGTAAAAATTAATTTTTCTTTTCCGGAATTTTACAATTTGTAAAAATTAATTTTTCTTTTCCGGAAATACTTTTACAATTTGTAAAAATTAATTTTTCTTTTCCGGAATTTTACAATTTGTAAAAATTAATTTTTCTTTTCCGGAATTACTTTTACAATTTGTAAAAATTAATTTTTCTTTTCCGGAATTACTTTTACAATTTGTAAAAATTAATTTTTCTCTTCCGGAATTACTTTTACAATTTGTAAAAATTAATTTTTCTTTTCCGGAAATACTTTTACAATTTGTAAAAATTAATTTTTCTTTTCCGGAATTACTTTTACAATTTGTAAAAATTAATTTTTCTTTTCCGGAATTACTTTTACAATTTGTAAAAATTAATTTTTCTTTTCCGGAATTACTTTTACAATTTGTAAAAATTAATTTTTCTTTTCCGGAAATACTTTTACAATTTGTAAAAATTAATTTTTCTTTTCCGGAATTACTTTTACAATTTGTAAAAATTAATTTTTCTTTTCCGGAATTACTTTTACAATTTGTAAAAATTAATTTTTCTTTTCCGGAATTACTTTTACAATTTGTAAAAATTAATTTTTCTTTTCCGGAATTACTTTTACAATTTGTAAAAATTAATTTTTCTTTTCCGGAATTACTTTTACAATTTGTAAAAATTAATTTTTCTTTTCCGGAATTACTTTTACAATTTGTAAAAATTAATTTTTCTTTTCCGGAAATACTTTTACAATTTGTAAAAATTAATTTACTTTTCCGGAATTACTTTTACAATTTGTAAAAATTAATTTTTCTTTTCCGGAATTACTTTTACAATTTGTAAAAATTAATTTTTCTTTTCCGGAATTACTTTTACAATTTGTAAAAATTAATTTTTCTTTTCCGGAAATACTTTTACAATTTGTAAAAATTAATTTACTTTTCCGGAATTACTTTTACAATTTGTAAAAATTAATTTTTCTTTTCCGGAATTACTTTTACAATTTGTAAAAATTAATTTTTCTTTTCCGGAATTACTTTTACAATTTGTAAAAATTAATTTTTCTTTTCCGGAATTACTTTTACAATTTGTAAAAATTAATTTTTCTCTTCCGGAATTACTTTTACAATTTGTAAAAATTAATTTTTCTTTTCCGGAAATACTTTTACAATTTGTAAAAATTAATTTTTCTTTTCCGGAATTACTTTTACAATTTGTAAAAATTAATTTTTCTTTTCCGGAATTACTTTTACAATTTGTAAAAATTAATTTTTCTTTTCCGGAATTACTTTTACAATTTGTAAAAATTAATTTTTCTTTTCCGGAATTACTTTTACAATTTGTAAAAATTAATTTTTCTTTTCCGGAAATACTTTTACAATTTGTAAAAATTAATTTTTCTTTTCCGGAATTTTACAATTTGTAAAAATTAATTTTTCTTTTCCGGAAATACTTTTACAATTTGTAAAAATTAATTTTTCTTTTCCGGAATTTTACAATTTGTAAAAATTAATTTTTCTTTTCCGGAATTACTTTTACAATTTGTAAAAATTAATTTTTCTTTTCCGGAAATACTTTTACAATTTGTAAAAATTAATTTTTCTTTTCCGGAATTACTTTTACAATTTGTAAAAATTAATTTTTCTTTTCCGGAATTACTTTTACAATTTGTAAAAATTAATTTTTCTTTTCCGGAATTACTTTTACAATTTGTAAAAATTAATTTTTCTTTTCCGGAATTACTTTTACAATTTGTAAAAATTAATTTTTCTTTTCCGGAATTACTTTTACAATTTGTAAAAATTAATTTTTCTTTTCCGGAATTACTTTTACAATTTGTAAAAATTAATTTTTCTTTTCCGGAAATACTTTTACAATTTGTAAAAATTAATTTACTTTTCCGGAATTACTTTTACAATTTGTAAAAATTAATTTTTCTTTTCCGGAATTACTTTTACAATTTGTAAAAATTAATTTTTCTTTTCCGGAATTACTTTTACAATTTGTAAAAATTAATTTTTCTTTTCCGGAAATACTTTTACAATTTGTAAAAATTAATTTACTTTTCCGGAATTACTTTTACAATTTGTAAAAATTAATTTTTCTTTTCCGGAATTACTTTTACAATTTGTAAAAATTAATTTTTCTTTTCCGGAATTACTTTTACAATTTGTAAAAATTAATTTTTCTTTTCCGGAATTACTTTTACAATTTGTAAAAATTAATTTTTCTCTTCCGGAATTACTTTTACAATTTGTAAAAATTAATTTTTCTTTTCCGGAAATACTTTTACAATTTGTAAAAATTAATTTTTCTTTTCCGGAATTACTTTTACAATTTGTAAAAATTAATTTTTCTTTTCCGGAATTACTTTTACAATTTGTAAAAATTAATTTTTCTTTTCCGGAATTACTTTTACAATTTGTAAAAATTAATTTTTCTTTTCCGGAATTACTTTTACAATTTGTAAAAATTAATTTTTCTTTTCCGGAAATACTTTTACAATTTGTAAAAATTAATTTTTCTTTTCCGGAATTTTACAATTTGTAAAAATTAATTTTTCTTTTCCGGAAATACTTTTACAATTTGTAAAAATTAATTTTTCTTTTCCGGAATTTTACAATTTGTAAAAATTAATTTTTCTTTTCCGGAATTACTTTTACAATTTGTAAAAATTAATTTTTCTTTTCCGGAATTACTTTTACAATTTGTAAAAATTAATTTTTCTCTTCCGGAATTACTTTTACAATTTGTAAAAATTAATTTTTCTTTTCCGGAAATACTTTTACAATTTGTAAAAATTAATTTTTCTTTTCCGGAATTTTACAATTTGTAAAAATTAATTTTTCTTTTCCGGAATTACTTTTACAATTTGTAAAAATTAATTTTTCTTTTCCGGAAATACTTTTACAATTTGTAAAAATTAATTTTTCTTTTCCGGAATTACTTTTACAATTTGTAAAAATTAATTTTTCTTTTCCGGAATTACTTTTACAATTTGTAAAAATTAATTTTTCTTTTCCGGAAATACTTTTACAATTTGTAAAAATTAATTTTTCTTTTCCGGAATTACTTTTACAATTTGTAAAAATTAATTTTTCTTTTCCGGAATTACTTTTACAATTTGTAAAAATTAATTTTTCTTTTCCGGAATTACTTTTACAATTTGTAAAAATTAATTTTTCTTTTCCGGAAATACTTTTACAATTTGTAAAAATTAATTTACTTTTCCGGAATTACTTTTACAATTTGTAAAAATTAATTTTTCTTTTCCGGAATTACTTTTACAATTTGTAAAAATTAATTTTTCTTTTCCGGAATTACTTTTACAATTTGTAAAAATTAATTTTTCTTTTCCGGAATTACTTTTACAATTTGTAAAAATTAATTTTTCTTTTCCGGAATTACTTTTACAATTTGTAAAAATTAATTTTTCTTTTCCGGAATTACTTTTACAATTTGTAAAAATTAATTTTTCTTTTCCGGAATTACTTTTACAATTTGTAAAAATTAATTTTTCTTTTCCGGAAATACTTTTACAATTTGTAAAAATTAATTTACTTTTCCGGAATTACTTTTACAATTTGTAAAAATTAATTTTTCTTTTCCGGAAATACTTTTACAATTTGTAAAAATTAATTTTTCTTTTCCGGAATTACTTTTACAATTTGTAAAAATTAATTTTTCTTTTCCGGAATTACTTTTACAATTTGTAAAAATTAATTTTTCTTTTCCGGAATTACTTTTACAATTTGTAAAAATTAATTTTTCTTTTCCGGAATTACTTTTACAATTTGTAAAAATTAATTTTTCTTTTCCGGAATTACTTTTACAATTTGTAAAAATTAATTTTTCTTTTCCGGAATTACTTTTACAATTTGTAAAAATTAATTTTTCTTTTCCGGAATTACTTTTACAATTTGTAAAAATTAATTTTTCTTTTCCGGAATTACTTTTACAATTTGTAAAAATTAATTTTTCTTTTCCGGAAATACTTTTACAATTTGTAAAAATTAATTTACTTTTCCGGAATTACTTTTACAATTTGTAAAAATTAATTTTTCTTTTCCGGAAATACTTTTACAATTTGTAAAAATTACTTTTTCTCTTCCGGAATTACATTTACAATTTATAATTTTGTTTATTACAGAACAATACAAATACAACAATTGTAACAATACAAACATAAACAGAAAAATACATATTATACATACAATACAATATATAATGAGAAATAGCAGGGAATACAACTCAACCTGCAATATATATAGATATATGTATATAGGGAATATAGATTATACATATATAGATGGGCATATAGCCAAATATGTGAATATATAGGTATAGGGGATATAGGGAAATATATATAGGTGAATATAGGGAAATACATATATTTTTAATTATATATAGATTGGCATATAGCCAAGAGAGAGATACAATTTTTGTTGAGAATTAGAGAGATATTGGATATGGGAAATAATTAGAGAATGAAGGATTTACAAATATATATCTCTCATTTATATCTTCTCAACTTCTAGTGTTTATTCCTCGCCGCAACCCTCATCTTCACATACAATTCAAACAGCAACGCCGCCCCTCTTTTTAGCCTCCGACTCCATATTCGATGCCGTGCTAGACTGTTTGCTCTTTGAAGCGTCCGCCTTCGAAGCGGAGTCCTTCGGGGTCTTGTCCTTCTTCCCCTTCTTCACCTTTTCTGCCTCTAAGAAACTGTGGATTTCAATGCACTCTTCGATGGCTTCACCCTTCTCTTTCCTTTTCGCAATTGTCTTCTGTACTCTAGCGTTGAATTCCTTCCATGTCTCGCCTTTTCCCTGGATCAGCCCACTCTGAAAAATTTTTTTTTCCTTTATATTTTTAATTTCGTATTATCTCACCTTCTTTTTCCACTCGTTGAAGGTGCCAACAATTTCGAAACCTTTATCCTTCAATGCCGGTAGATACAATTCGAAGAGCATTTTTTTGTTTTTTGCCGCGTTCTCCAAACCCTCCTTCTTCATCCTGTCATAAATCTCATTGACGAATTGGTCTTCCAACGAAGGCATATCTGAGATAACGCGTTTATTGTTTTGATCTTCAATTGCGGCGTCGTCTCCAGCATTGAGCCAATAGGTCCTGAGAAATTTAAAAAAATATTTCTCTTTATCTCACTCTGTCTTTTACCTCTGTAGTTGGTCTTCTGCTTCCTGTTTTTCGGCTTCTTGTTTTATTTTTTGCTGGTCTTCATAGATGATGTACCCGCGATAGGCGCCAGCTGCAATCAACAAGCAAACACTAAACACCACACCAATCACAATTGCCCAAATCCAGATTTTACTTCCTTCTGTGGTGGCCGCTGTTGTAGTCGTTGCTGCTTTTGTTGTAGTAGTTTGTTGCTGCGTTCCTGACGGTGAAGTTGTTCCGATAGCTGGTGGTGATGTGGTATCCGGGTTTGTTGTGGTCGTTGTAGATGTTGTAGTGGTGCTGGTTGTCGTTGTTTGAGGGTCGACCTGAAGAAACTCGTAGCCTGGCCTATCCTGAAAGATAAAAATTAATCGAATTTTTGGAAGAAATGGAAAAGCTTACAAAGCGAATGAAGAGATCACATTTTGGTCGGCCTTCCTCAAGTTTTCCTTTGCGATTGCCACCTTCGTATCTTATTGAAGCCGTTCGTGGAAGTAGATGAAAGACGAGCAGATGTTTATCCTTCAGGTTCCCGTCTCCATTTTTGATTTTCCATGTTTTTGGTCCGACAATGGCTTGTTTCACTGGAACGCAGTTAACGTTTCCTGTTTCATACGTTCTTATCGTTCTTTCATCAAATATCATCTTGAAGGTCTTATCATTTATCTCCAGATTGAATTTCGTCCTAGTGCCCGCTGGAATCGTTTCGCCCTTTTCAAATTCACCAACTAAAAAAAATTTTAAAGTAAAAATAATCGTCATCTTACTTAAATGGGTGTGAGCGTATACAAAATCATTGCATTTGCTCCATGAGACTTCAAAAAAGGTATGGTTCATGCAGGTACCCCCGCAGCTTTTAATGTCAGCACATATGGTACTACTATCATAGATCGGACCGTTTGTGAGATTTGTGATTTCCTTGTTGTTTCTGCTGTAGGCAAATGGCAGGCTGAAACGGATTTTTCTTTTCTAATCGACATTTAACTCAAACTTACAGATTTGAAAAGCCATCCTCAAAGCTAGCTTCCTTACGGGTGCATTTATCCAGTTCACAGCCATCTTTTACGTATCCAGTCGTGAATTTGATCATTTTCATTGGCGTTTTTGTGATCAGTTCCACAGTGCACCCTTCGCCTTCGTATAGAAGCTCACTAAAAGATTAAAAACATTATTTCCTCAAATCTTCAGAAAAAATCAACTTACATTTGTGTCTTGTTGATGAAGAAATTGCAGACATTAGGGAAAAGCTTCTTGTACTCGGCATAAGTTAAGTCCACTCCGGCCTGCTTACTGACTCCTTTGAGCGTCACACTCTTTCCATCTTTCTCCAAGGTGTGATTGGCAACTCCGACTTCCTCAACGTTGGCCTGTCCAGGAACTGCAAGCACTAGGAGCGCGGTGATGGACACCAGCAGCAGAGCACAAAGCGTTGTCGGCTTCCTTGCCAAAGGTCCGGTGTTGTGGTCCATTGGATGAAGGAGGCAGAAGAGCATGAAGCGTTGTCTTTGTTGTTTGTTTAGATGATGTTGACGTAGAGTTGAAGTGATTGAAGATTTTGTGGCGTTTGGAAGGAAAAATGAAACGATAAACAAAGCTTTTATAGTAAATTTTAGCTGAAGGCTAATTGAAAGTCTAATCAGATTTTGCACCGTTAGCGCTCGGCTAGAAGAGAAAGCTAAAGGCTTTCACGTTGCTTGTACAGCTCGAGGCAGCAAGATAGAGAACTAAATAAGGAACAAAAATAATCAAAAACTTTAAAAGTACACAACCCTTTCTTAGATACAGAGTCGAAGGCGCGTGGAAAAATCATTGGGGTCTTTTTTTAAAAATCTCCCTCATTAGGGGAGATTTTCTCCAATTCCTGGGCTGTTCGCTCAAAATTTTTGAGTACCGCAGGCGAAAATTTTGAGAATTTTAGACGGCTAATTTTGTCAAATAAAAAATGAGAAATCAATCCTTATGGGTGTTAAAAAATATCGATATTCATCGGTATCCGACACTAATCCCGATACCGGCCTCGGTATCGGGATTTGTCTTTCGGTGTCGGTATCAAAAAAACCAGTATGATAACGGCAAACTCTATTTAAAATAAAGAGAAGAAAATTTAAAATTAATTTTAAACAGCAACAAAGTTGAAATCGAAAAAACTTCAAAAATATCAAAAATAGTTTCCAAAATCTTCACAATTGAAAAACAAAAACATCTATTACAACTAGAGATCGGAATTTTGAAAAAACCGGGTCCGGGTTCCGGGAAACGGGTTCTGAAAGTTGCCCGGGAGGGACCCGGTCCGGGAAAACCGGGAATTCCCGTTCCCGGTTTCATCCCGGTTGCTTCAAAAAAACCGGGAAAAGGGACACGAAAACCGGGAAACGGGTTTCGGGGGGAAACGGGACACGCTCCGTCTCTAATTACAACAATTACAATATAAATATAAATATCGTCAACCTCCTAATAAAAATTGTGTTTATTATAGAACAATACAAATACAACAATTACAGTAATACAAACATATATACAGAAAAATACATATTATACATACAATACAATATATAATGAGAAATAGCAGGGAATACAACTTAACCTGCAATATAGCCTAATATGTGAATATATGGGTATAGGGAATATAGAGTGAATATAGGGAAATATATAGGCATATAGCCATTATAGAGAGAAATACATGTTGAGAGATTTGGAGAATATTGGGGAGGAAAATAATTAGAGAATGAAGGATTTACATATTTACAATTTATATTCTCTATATATCTTCAATATATCTTCTCAACTTCTAGTGTTTATTCTTAGCCGCAACCTTCATCTCCACAATTTACAGATCCGTCCCTTAAGCCTCCGACATCATATCCGTTGGAATATTCGATGTCGTACTTGCCTGTTTGCTCTTTGCAGCGTCTGACTTATCCGGTGCCGGGTCCTTCTTCGAAGCCGAGTCCTTCTTCTGGGCCGGGTCCTTTGGAGCCGATTCCTCCTTCGAGGTCTTATCCTTCTTCACCTTGTCGCCCTTTGTCTTCTTCCCCTCGGCAGCTTTGGATTTTTGTTTTACAATCACCCTTTCTACTTTAGCGTCGAATTCCTTCAATGTTTTGCCTTTTTTTGGATCAGCCCACTCTGAAAAAAATATTTTCCTTTAATTTTTAATTTTTGTATGATCTCACCTTCTTTTTCCACTCATTGAAGGTGCCAACAATTTCGAAACCTTTATCCTTCAATGCCGGTAGATACAATTCGAAGAGCATTTTTTTGTTTTTTGCCGCGTTCTCCAAACCCTCCTTCTTCATCCTGTCATAAATCTCATTGACGAATTGGTCTTCCAACGAAGGCATATCTGAGATAACGCGTTTATTGTTTTGATCTTGAATTGCGTCGTCGTCTCCAGCATTCAACCAAGTAGCTCAGTTAACGACTAGGTAGAACAGTATACTAACCAAGCTACTCGGCTATTCTTTCACCTCCACTTTAAATCCCCGCAATAAACGTTTTAAATGATAACCAGATTGATCAAATCTTAAGACCATTTAGCAATAAAAAATAATAAATTTATTTATTTAAATAAAAATTTTTCCACGACTGTATTTAATAATTGAATCGAAAGAAACCGTGCGTTTAAAAAATAGGGGGGGGGAGGTGTGTGATTATGGAAAATTTTTAAGTTAAAATTTTTTGAGAGAACAATTTTTTGTAAAATATAAAGGCAAGGCATTTAAAACAGAAGAGCTTTAAAATTAATTTTTGAACCTCTATATAGGGGACAGACATTTGAACCTCTATATAAGGAACCTCTATATAATGGACAGTTAATTGACCCTCTATATAATCGACAGGCGATTGAACCTCTATATAGGGGACAATCAATTTAACCTCTTTATAATGGATAGTCAACTATAGTGTTATTCACGGTACCGTATTACCGCGGTATTTTTCGGTAATACCGCGGTATATTTTACCGAAAATACCGATACCGAAAAATCGCGTTTGAATAACACTAGTCAACTATCGTTAGTAGCGATACATAGCTGTGGACAGAAAAATCAAAAATTAATTTAAATCTCCTCTAAAAAAATTAAGGCAGACGAATCGGGCAAGTTAAACAAAAAATAGAAAATGGCTTATAATTATTCACAAATCACAACTTTGCTTTATTTTTTGTCAATTTATTGTGTAGCCATGTTTTGCGGGGCAGTAGTGGTTGTTGGAGAACGACTCTCATTGATGATTAAATACTTGTCGAACTCTTGAGGGTTAAGATCGGCTGCATTGAGTCCCTTAAAAAGCTTTTAGTTAGTCGATAATCTTTAATATATTCCAGGGCTCCGATCGACAAAATACCAATCAAGAGTACAAAAATCTCGATTTTAAAGGACATAGGGACAAAATTTCCAAATTTAAAGTACACTCCAAATTAAATTAAAAAATATTTATTCGCCCTCAAATTTTTTATATTTCTCTCCCAAATGAATCTTTTCTAATAATTTCTTGTTTCCACTGAGCATTTTGTGCATTTCACTGCATGACATTTCAAAATTCGCTGACACAAGAAGTAGAGCCCTGAGTCTTAACCTCAAACAAGCTACTTTCTTTCGACCATTTTCAGCGCCGCAGGCGAAAATTTTGGAAAATTTCGGGGTCCTTAAGACAGATTTCTCCCATTTTTAGCGCCGCAGGCGAAAATTTTTAGAATTTTGGAAGGCCGTAGATAAAAAAAATTCACTTTTTCAGCGCCGCAGGTGAAAATTTTGAGAATTTCGAAGGCCGTAGGCCAAAAAAAATCATTTTTGCCCAATCCCTTCCCCAATTTCATTTTCAATCCAAAATGTTGATTTTAAAGTACATACTTTAAATAAAGTACAAATTCAATTTCGTAAGTACGGAGGTCGATTTTAAAGTACTGTACTTTCAAATAAAGTACGAATCGGAGCCCTGATATATTCTCCTTATATCCAGAGTTTGTCGCCTACACCAGGGTCTGTCGGACGTGACAATGTAGTAGGAAATACTAAGTCGGAAATCCGAACAATTCCGACCAAACTCTGTCCCACACCTTTATATCCTAAACCTTCCTATCTATCCCACCTTTCTCTAACTCTTCGCACTTATCTCCCTAGATAACTCGAAGCCTAGAACATGTGTTAATATACGTGTGGATATAAAACGAAAAAGCTTAGGACAAGAGAGACATTACAGTATTCTATTCTACCTGGAATAACGGATCCATATAGCCAATAACAACGGATTGCTGCTGTTGCTGGGGAAATGATGTGGAATCCACCTCCATCATAATTTCCTGTTTTTATAAAAAAAGGTAAAAGAGTGAGGAAACAAAAAAAAGGTAAAAGAGTGAGGAAATTTTAAAGGCGCTCCTCACCTGTTGTAAAGGAGCGGCATTTGCTCTTTGTAGGAATAATGACTGGTTGTGTTGAGATGAATGACAGTCGCTTCCAGCCTGATTGCCATAAGTATCCATAGAATTGGCAGCTGAAGAGTCGTGGGGTGGACGGCCAAGAAATGAGGGATCCAACAGACCCTAGGGATATTAATTTAATTAAGATAATTTCTAATAAGGTTAATTTTAATTTTAATATTATTGTATGAAAGAAGAGATTTGGAGGTATAAAACAATAAAAAGATCAAATTTTTATCCAAAGGATTCGGAAAGTTATGAATTTTTAAATGGAATTAGTCTTTAAAAGGGAATTAATTTACAAACTTAAAAAAGTTGCTAACTTAATTATAAACTTAGATTAAATATTAGAAACCTTTTAAGTTCAAACTTAAAGTTAGTGGAGAAATACAAGTAATTTACAAACTTAAACAAGTTGCTAACTTATTACAAACTTAAATGAAATATTACCAACTTTTTTAAGTTCAAACTTAAGTTTACTAATTATAAACTTATATTAAATATTACCAACTTTTTTAAGTTCAAACTCAAGTTTACTAATTATAAACTTAAATGAAATATTACCAACTTGTTCAAGTTCAAACTTAAGTTTACTAATTACAAACTTATATTAAATATTACCAACTTTTTTAAGTTCAAACTTAAGTTTACTAATTATGAACTTAAGTTAATTATTACCAACTTTTTTGAGTTCAAACTTAAGTTTTCAAGTTCAAGCTTAAGTATACTAATTACAAACTTAAAAAATCTACCTGTCTAATAATTTGTTCACGTCTCTCCTGCATACATTGCTTCTCTTGCTTAAGTTGTTGTACTCTATCCAGTCCCCCAGCCAATACAGAATTTGTAATTGTATTAGGTGTAGGTCCAACAGAAGATGAGCCTCCATGGAAGTTTTGCTAATTTAAGGGTTATTAAAATTCTTAAAAAATCCCAGACTTACTCTATTATTATTAGAAGCCATTTTGTTTGTCCCCATTGCTGCCCCAGCCGACTGGCTATAGGAATGTTGAAAGTTTGCATTATCTTGGTGTTGTTGTTGCTCCGATTTGTGGGTATGCCGACTTATTACTATTTGTTGTTGTACTTCTTTGGGCAATCGAGGGTCGTACCAAGTAGTTTCTTTGTGGATATGGTCGATAAAGTAAGGGTCTCCGTTTGGAGTGTATGCCTTCTCCCAACCTTCGGGTAAAGGTCCAAGGCCGTCATCATCCTTTAAAAAGGGGGTTATTATCAGAAGTGTGCCGAAGGTGCTTTTAGAAGGCGAAAAATGAAAGGCGAAAGACGAAATCGAAAAAAGGCGAAATTCCGAAAAAGACGAAACAACAAAAGCGAAAGGCGAAACTGGCACACCCTCTACTCCAAAATTTTTTTAAGTTTACCAAAAGTATAGTAGTAGCACTTTGAGGGGATTGATGAGAACGTCCAATAAAAGAATTTTCAATAATTTGTTGTTGGGAGGTGGAGGAAGGATTATTATTATCGTTGGTAGGGGGAGAGGCAATAGCTGTGGAAGGATTCGAAGAGAAATGGGCTGTAGAATTGTTTGAAGATTGGTGAAAACCTCCTGTACCCGCGGCTACTGCTGCAGCTGATTCGAAGGCTAAAGGATCTAAGCTTTGGCTCTTTCCGCGAGTGGTAGACCAATACACTGCTGCTGATGTAGGGAATTTGTTAGGGCTGGAAAATTTAGAAATTTTTATAAGAGGAAAGTAGAAAAATAAGGGTTAATCTAGATAGCTTGATCCAGTGTTCCCTCAAACTATATGTTCCTTAATCCTGTATATGTTCCCCATTTACTCTATGGCTATGTTCTCCTGACCCTATAGCTGGTTTCTTTCAACCTATAGCTATGCTCCATACACTCTATATCTAGGTCCTCATAACCTTATGCCCAAGTTTCTTTACTACACCCCATGATCATGTTCCCTTCACACTATGACCATGTACCCTTCATACTATAATCATGCTCCCTTCACACTTGACCATGTCCCCTTCACACTATAACCATGTTCCCTTCACACTATAACCATGTTCCCTTAATCCTATAGCTATGTTCCTTTCGCACTATAGGACAAATAACTTAACCAACACCAAAAAAATAAACTGAACATACTCATTAATTGGAGCAGCAACATTCTGTTGTTGCCCAAAATATTCAGATTGTTGTTGTTGTTGATAAGGATTAATTTGTGTTGGGGACATTATTTGGTTATTATTATTATTTCCTGCCAGCATATCAAAATCACAAGATTTGGCAGCTCTTTGATGGGCAACTGGAGGCAATTCTGCCATAGCATTTAAAAACATATGGCTATTGGCAGTAGAACCATGCTGTCTTTGATAGTTTTGTTGTTGCTGTGCTCCAGGAGGGGAAGTTGCTGCCATTGCATTAAGTGAACGACTATAAGCATGTTGATAGGGTTGAGCAAGTGGGGGTAGGGCAGAACGACTATTTCTGTTTTAAATAAAAAAATTTTTTAGGGGGTTTTATGGTGATCGGTGCCGGATTGGATCCGTCGACCCAAATCCGGTTTTTAGCGAAATTCGGATTCTTTCCGGAATCCGGAGCAGACTCCGTCTTTATTCTTGTTAAAATGTTCAGGCGTAAGAATCTGGACCCGGTCACGCTTAGTTATAATCCGGAATCTGGAGCCGACTTTAATTATAAATCCGGGATCTCTGCTCTAGTTAGAAATTTGGAATCCGGATCCGTTTCCAGAAAAGAAAATTTCGGTCACTAGGCTTTTTAAAAATCTAGGAGTGGCCTCCTCTCTTACTTGGAATTGGCCATATGTTGTTGTTGATGATGTAAATGATGATGGGATGTGGGCATTTGTTGCGGGGTAGAAGAATGTTGTTGTTGGGAAACATCATTAACACTTTGTTGGGTAAAGTGTTGTTGTGGCTCATATTGTTCATAATTAATTAAAGCGGGGGCACTAGCTTGTCTTTGATGTATTATAGCAGAACAAGAAGCGGAATAATTCTGACCGGTCATGGGGTCAGTTAGAGCCATTGGGACATTCCCTCCTCCTCCTTGATGAAAACCAAAAGAGGAAATGGAGGAAGGGCTGAGGGTATGGCGCCCTGCAGACGAGCCAAACCCATCATCAGAAGAGTCGCGCGAATGGCCCTTTAAAATTTGGAACAATAAAAAATATAGTGTGGAGGGACTTACAGAAGAACAACGCGTTTTTGTTGGAGGACGCCAAAATGAATTGGGCAACTAAAAATTTTTTTTAATAGAAGAATGGTTAAAGAATGGTCTCCTCTCACAATATATCTATGTTCCCTTCACATTATAACCCTATGTTCCCTTCACATTATGACCCCATGTTCCCTTCGGACTAAAACCCAATGTTCCCTTCGGACTATAACCCCTTCCGAAGTTCCCTTCACATTATGACAATATGTGCCGTTCACACTATACCAATGTTCCTCCCAGCCTATACCCTTAACCTCATGTCCCTCAACCTTTACAACCCTTCATTCATGTTCCCTCCACCCTATGGTTCCTTTCAACCAAAGAAAATCATCAAACCTTTTTCTTATTAAAGTGTTTACTGCCTCGTTCATTATGCGTCTTTAAACCTAAAAAATTTCTTTAATATTATTCCCAATATATTGTCTTCTAACCAGCATTAATTAACTCTTCAATGCTTTTACGAGGGTCGTCTACAGTAGTGTTTATTTGAACTGTCCCACTACCCCTCATTTGTTGTTTGGCCAATGCCAGCTCTACGCGCTTCTTTGCTGAAGCCATTAAATAGGGAAATAAAGGCAAGAAGATGGCAAAATAATTTAATTAAATAATTTTATTTAAGCTTCTTTCTTTAATAAAGAATTTTATAAAGGTGTTGAAATTATATAAAAATATTTTGAGGTTGTCTAATTTGGCACAAAATTTTTTTACTCTTCTCGAAACTCGAGAATATTAAAACTGAAAATTTTTTTAGAGTTATAGAAGCAATTAAAAAATTTTTTTGAAGCAGAAAATTTTTTTTGAAGCAATTAAAAAATAGTTTTCCCCGGGAGGGTTCGAACCTGACACCTATGAAGGCACACGAAACTAAGCTTTCCCACTAAACCAAAAAGCCGACACACGGCAAAGGATTGAGAAACAAATATTCTTATATATCCAGTATTCCCTTATGAATATATCCTCAGTAGGGTTCGAATCTGTCACCCACCTCTAAAACCACAGGAAATCAAAAACCTATGTTCTCTCCACACTATAGGTATGTTCCCTTCACCCTATTACCCAATGTTCCTTTCACACTATAATAAATTTTTTAATCAGAATTTTTTTACACAATTTTCCTCCCCAGAAAATCAGAATAAAAATACAAAACGAAAAATAAATTAAAATTTCACGCAAAAAAATCCATGTGCATCACCTTCACACAATTAAATCCTATTGTAGAAAGGGCACGCTCTACGCACCTTCGCACGTTTTTAATGTTTTTTAATGGCGCCATAATAAAAAAATGGAGAGTCTGTTAAAATGAGCTATAGGTAGAAAAAAATGAAATCAGAAAAAAAAGTGGATATGAGAGTAAATAAAGAAGATTACTGTAATAATCGCAAGGGCGCCATAAAGGTGTTTTTATTGAAAGTGGCAATTTTAAAAATTGTTTTTGGAAGATAAAAATATAAAAACAAATCTATGTTGTTGATTTTAGATATACAAATAATTAAAAAATAAATAAAAACAAATAAAAATTAAATAGATACTTTAAAATACAATTTGGAGATTAAAATTAGTGGGATCAAATGTAATCATAAAAGAAATTTTTTTAAAAATATAATTTTAGTCTAACTTTTTTTAATGTTTTTGGATAGTGGATTAAATAAGCTAAGAAATTTAATCAAAAATAAAATTTTATGTAAAATTACAAAAATGTAAGGGTCAAAAAATCTCAGAAAATCAACATTTTTATGAAAAAATAAAAGTTTTTGTGCTACAACATTTTGCCATAAAATGAAATTCTAGACTTGAAAAGATGTAAAATAGAGAATTTAATTGTCTATCGAATGACACCAAAATCAGCTCCAAAGCTTCATGCTTTCAAGAGTTATAAAGCCTAGAAACAAGTACGTTTGATTCCGGTACTCAAGTAGTAACTGTGTTTTTCGACCATAACTTTTTTATTTCAAGATAAAATTTTTTCATGTAAAATTTTATTAAATAGAGAATTTAATTCTCTATCGAAAGACACCAAAATCAGCTTTAAAGCTTCATGCAATCACGAGTTATAAAGCCTGGAAGCAACTAAGCTTTAATGGACCAGCTGTGTTTTTCGAACATAACTTTTTTGTTTCAAAATAAAATTTTTTCAAGTAAAATTTTATCAGATAGAGAATTTAATTCTCTATCGAATGGCACCAAAAGCAGCTTCAAAGCTTCATGCATTCACGAGTTATAAAGCTTTGAAGCAACTAAGCTTTATAAAGCAACATGTTCAGTTGTAAATAAAATCAATTAAAAAATTTAAAAATAGAAAGAAAAAACGATTAGAAAAAAATCGAGAAAAGTTAAAAAAGGGTGACAAAGACAGTGAAAAATTATAAAATGTGATTATTTAAGATTTACTTGAGAAAAAAATTTTTTTTCAATTTTTAAACACTTTAACCTCTTAGAAACATAAAAATGTTCATCGATCTAATAGCAACAAAAACGAACAATTTATTATACTAAATACTTTTTAAAACCCTTCTTTCCACCCGCAAAATGATAAGCAGTATGTTAGTCAATTGGTTTGGGAGAGAGAGAAGAGGCTTTTTTAATGTTTGACAGAGTAGTTGGTGGTTGTGCTTAACCACCCAAACAATAATTTTCTAGAAGTAAATCAATTGGCAAAGTTTCTAAAGATTAATGGAGATTTTAAGGAGAACATAAGGGTGGTAAAAATATAAGATTGATATACAAAACAAGGGATCGAGAGATATTTAAATTGTGGGCTGAAAGGAACATAGGTAATGCGAAGGGAACATAAGTAATGCGAAGGGAACATAACAGCATCAGTTTTTGACTATAACATTTTTTCTTCGGAATAAAATATTTTCGAGTTAAACCTTATTAAATAGAGAATTTAATTCTCTATCGAATGATACCAAAATCGGCTCCAAAGCTTCGTGTGTTCATAAGTTACAAAGGCTGAAACCAGATAAGCTTCAAGTAGGGTGAAAGGAACATATGTACTTAAAATAGCTATAAAGTGAAGGGAACAAAATAGGAATGTGCCAGTTTCGCTTTTCATCATTTGTCGAATTTCGCCTTTTTTTGGTGTTTCGCTTTCGTATTTTCGTATTTCGAATCTTAAAATAAGCTTCTGGGACATACCCTCATATAGAGTGAAGGGACATAGGGTGTGAGGTTATCAAGAACCTTTAGATCACTGCTATAAACTTAAAGTGAGGGCCAAATGTTAGAAGACCTCTATATAAGGTGTGTTGAAATATAAAATTAAAAAAAAAAGAAAGGAAAAGCGGAAATTGACAGAGAAAAGTATTAAAAACTCTATCTCCCTCTCACAGCTTTTTTAAATGTTAAAAAAGATAAAAAAGAGAGAAGGGGCGGCTGTTACTTTTCCTCCCTTCAATGTATTGTTGTGTCCCATGAGTGGCAGAAAATGATCAAAAAAACTTTTTAAAAGAGAGCGGAAGCTATAAATGTATCAAAAAATATATATTAGCTAGAAACAGCCGGTGAAGAACGACACATTGTCATTGGAGGGAGATGAATCAGAGAAAGGGGGGATAGAGAGAGGTAGAGAGAAAGGAAGTCGATCAACGTTCAAATCAGAAAGAGGGAAGAAGGGAGAACAGGTTTACGGGATCAGAATAAATCAGAAAGAGCAGAAAAATCTAGAAACCAGATGAATCAGAAAAATATCAGAAATCAGAATTTAAAATAATCAGAGCAGAAATCAGAATTGCCCAGAAAAATCAGAAATATACCAAAAGAATCAGAAACATCAGAAATATATAAGAACAGAACACAACCCACAATCAGAATAAACCAGAAAAATACCAGAATAATTATCAGAACAATCAGAATAAACCAGAAAAATACCAGAATAATTATCAGAACAATCAGAAGAATCTCAGAACAATCAGAATAAACCAGAAAAATACCAGAATAATTATCAGAACAATCAGAAAAATCTCAGAACAATCAGAATAAACCAGAACACAAATCAGAATTAATATCAGAATAATAATCAAAATAATATCAGAATAAACAATAATATCAGAACAATAATCAGAAACTCAATCAGAATAAACTAGAAAAATATTAGAGTAATCAGAACAAATCAGAATAAATCAGAAAATTCTGAAATTAATAATGATGACATTTAAAATATTTTATCAGTAAATAAAAATTAAATCGTGCTTTAATTATTATAATTGTAGTCTGTATATTTATAACAATGATGTAAAAATAAAACAATGAGAAAAGAATTAAATCAAAAAAATATTATCACAAAACATTTATTTATAATAATCTTATGCAAATATGACAAATAAAAATTTTTAAAAATAAAAATAGAAAATCATAAAACAACATGCAAATACATGCCCTATTTTATTGTTATGAATCATTTAATATTTTTAAAACAAAGTATGAATCATTATCAGAGAATTATTTTTTGAAAACAAGAATAAACTTCCGGAAGGCATTTTTGCTATTTTTAATTATTTTTGTATTTTTTAAAAATTCTGAAAAGTTTGTGAGTGAAAGAAGGGAGAGAAAAAACACCATGACAAAGGCAGCGCCAGGCGCTGTAACTAATGAACGGATAAATTTTAAAAAATAGTTTTGGTATCATTCGACAGAGAATTGAATTCTCTATCGAATGTTATATAAAGATTACTAAAAAGTTTATCAGAATTAGAGTTATTAAATTTAAACTGAACCAATCAAATAGAGAGACAGGCGCCAAGACGTAGGCAGCGCCAGGCGCTGTAACTAATGAACGGATAAACTTTAAAAAATAGTTTTGGTATCATTCGACGGAGAATTAAACTAACTACAACAATAAAATAATATAAAAACCATAAATTTAATTTAAATAAAAAAATTTCAAAAAAGCAGTGAAAATCGTGGAAAATCATTAAAAATCAACAATTTTAGTTTATTTTCTGTCTATAACTTTTTTCCCTCTAGTTCTAAGATTATAATTTCAAATCTATTTTATAGTGAATTTAATTCTCTATTGAATGGTATATAAAGCTTCTCGAAAAGTTTACTCGTTCCAGAGTTATGAATTTTAAACTAAACCAGGTCCTACAGTCCTATTTTGCTAACTGCTCCTTTAAACTAGGGTTGGTCCCCGACCCCGACTAACCCCGACCCCGACCCCGAACCCCGACATTTTTTGACCTAAAACCCCGACCCCGACCCCGACATTCCCAACCCCGAAAACCCCGACCCCCGAAAGTTCGACCCCGACGACCCCGAACCCCGAAAAATTTTTATGCCCCCGACTCAAACTGCATTAATTAACTAGAGATCGGAACGGGATCGGGACTTTGATGCTAAATATATGAAGGAAAAGGGAAAGGAATATTTATATTTTCTCCTGTTTCCCTTTGTTGGTCGATGGTTGAGTTGTTAGGTTAACTGACTTCAGCCATTTAGCTATTTTGATAGGAATGTTGTTAATCCAGGGATGGAAATAAGGCTGAGAAAATTTTTCTTCTCAAAAATAAATATTTTTAAACTATGATCTTGATTTTAAATTTGTAAATTTATTTTTTTAAATATTTTAAACTTGAAACAATATTAGAAATTTTAAACTAGTCATGAATTTTCCAAAATTTTCGCCTGCGGCGCAGAAAATTGAAGAAATCTGTCTCTTGGCCTTCCAAAATTCTAAAAATTTTTGCCTGCGGCGCCGAAAATGGAAGAAATCTGGCTCTTGACCTTCCAAAATTCTCAAAATTTTTGCCTGCGGCGCTAGACACAATGAAGGGATACAGAGGCTTTAGGAAAAATTTATAGATAGATGGATTTCTCCCGTTATCCTTGCAACTCCCCGATATCCCGCCCCTCAATCCCTTTACATAAGAGGTGGAGTAAGAGTTACCTTGTGGGTTTGGGGATTTTGGGGATTATGAAGGATAACTTGGATAAAGTACTTCTTGCGCCTTCAACTAATCACGAATTAGATACAGAAAGTGAAGATAATGAAGATTAAGTTGATTTTTTAATAAAAATGTTGATTTGATGTGGATAAAAATGCTGGATTTTGTAAATTTTCACTTCAACCCCGACCCCCGACCCCGACCCCGAACCCCGACATTATTTTCAGCCCCGACCCCGACCCCGAACAATTTGAGCAACCCCGACCCCGACCCCGACTTTGTCAACCCCGAAAACCCCGACCCCCGACTTTTCCAACCCCGAAGGCTCGGGGACCAACCCTACTTTAAACTATTTTAAAAATTCAAAATATTATTTAAAAATACATTTTTTGATTAAAAATAAAAGAAAAATATTTTAAACATTAACTGAATACAATTTTACTGCAAATAAATTATTAGGAAAATAAAAGACCGATTAAACCAAAATTAAAGTCGATTGAATTTAGTAACGTTTAAATTTATTATTAACTGGCTGGAAATTAGGAAATTAAAAGAAAATGTAAAAAAAGGTGAAAAATGTGTGATAGATAAATAAATAAATTATTCTACCCTCTACTTTAGTTTTATGGGCCAAATTATACCAAAAAATGACCAAAAAGACAGGGTAGATGGGTAGGGTATTATTGTTGTTTTTAAGTAAATATATCGTTAAAGCTTCGAGAAAGGCTTTAATAAATACTCTAAAAAGTACTAGCAGTTGCCCAGTTTAATTGACAAATAAATCAGAAAAAATAAAGGTAGGCAGGAATGATCAAAAGGAGGAGGAGAGACGTTTACTCTCTCCTATACGAAAAATTAATGGTTTGGTCTAAAATTTATTTTAAAAGGAAAATACTTTCAAATTGTAAAAAAGATGAAGTGTTTTGTGCGCAAGAAGATGTAATAAATAATGGGAGCGAAGGGAGTGAGGTCACTTTGCGGGTCCAGCCGGGGGAGTAGGGCGAAGGGAACAAGGGGGGTTGGAAGGGGACCTGCGCAGCGATGAACACAAAGCAAAATGCAAAAAGCCGATCAATCGTGATGACGCAGCGATTGAATAGAAAGGTAAAAAGGAGAATAAGATGAGAATGTAAATACTCTCAAGAAGAACACACAAAAGCTAATAAATAAAATTGGGTGGGAGGGGAAGAGGAACGTTATGAGCAGACAGACATTGGATGAGTTTTGACGACATAACTCAAGAACTAATAAACATTTTGAAAATCTTCTTATACCATTCGATAGAGAATTAAATTTGCTACAAAATAAGTCGAAAGTAGATTAAATATGTTTTTAAGAAAAAAAGTTATGACTGAAAAACTACGGAAAGAAGCCCATCTTACATCATGTTTTTAAACCATAACTTTCTTAATTTTTGAAATAAAATTATAATTTCTTTTTTATCTTGTAGAAAATTTAATTCTCTATCGAATGACATATCAAGCTCTTCAAAATGTTTATTAGTTCTTGAGTTATGCCCCTAAAACTCAACCTAAGTTGCACCCTGCGCGACCTCTTAATAATAAAAACAAATAAAGTAATAAATTGTTTGTAATTTTATTCTTTTTGTATTTTATAAAGTAAAGGGTTGCTAGTGCTCATTTCATCTTCTATAGGAGAATAACCGTTCATCTACACCCCCACCTTTAATGATTTCCAAAGAAGGTAGTTGTTTATATGGCCTTCACCTTTTGCAATTTTATTCGATCAGAGCGCGCCTGGTACTGATTAGACGTTTATTGAATAAAAGAAAGGTGACAGGTGGCCTTCCAATTAATATAAAGATAATTTATATAATTGTTTTGATTAAATGAGTAAATGATATGGAGATATAATGATTAAAGTTGTGCAAAAAATTGTAGGGAAATTATATTTATTATCTATATTTATTTAAAAAAATAAATAAAAATTGGAAAAAAAATTTAAAAATAATTTTTTAATATAGCCTAAAGATTAATAAATATATTTTTATTTTTATTTTAAAATTTAGGGTTGCTATTTATAGCAAAAATAAAAAAAATTAACTATTAGGCAGCTAACAGAGGATCGATTGATAGGAGATCAGTCTACAATTTTGGCCATAACTTTTTTTCTTTTTTAGATATTTCCAAAATTTAAATTTTATCTTATAGATAATTCAATTCTATATCGAATGGCATATAAAGCTTTTTAAACGGTTGATTTAATAGTGAGTTATAAGGGAAAAAGTACTATCACTTAATAGATCTCCTTGAGTAGATTCAAGTCTACATTTTTGGCCACAACTTTTTTTTCTTTTTTAATTTAACTCTTGTCTTATAGCAAATTTTATCCTCTATCGAATGGAATATAAAGCTTTTTAAAGAGTTGATTTAATATTGAGTTATGAGGAAAGGACTGGCCAACACCCCCTTAGGTTGACACTACGCACACCTTTTGGAGCATAATTTAAAAATTAAATCAAATATAGTAAAATAAAAAAATAAAATAAACAAGACAAAACCAAATTAAAATTTGAGTTTTCCAACTCCCTATCAAAATTTTAAACCAAAAAGCAGAGCAAAACTTATTGACAACCCACACACTCCTTTCTAGTAAATCTGACACCCACCTTCTCCTATTTACTCAATTTTCTTTCAATTTTCATTGCTAAAAATAAAAATAGCATAGAAACAAGAAATCGATCAAACAGCTATTGACAGCGGAAAGATGACGTTGAATAACTAGAAAATAGGGAAGAGGTGTAAAAGTTTAATATAACGGGGTGATTGGAAGGGGAACACACACAGAAAACGGAAGGAGAAAGTTTGGACGAAAACAAATTAATTTTCTGATTTGTAAAAATAAAAGAAAAAAATAAAATTTTAGATCAACAATTGGTCAGTTATTTACTTATCTTCCTTTAATTTTTGGGGATTAAATAAATCTTACACCCACATAATGTCTATACGCAAGGGATGTTGATCTGCTGGTAAAATTAATATGAAAAATGGGTAAATTAATAAAAATTAAATTAAAAAATTAAATTAAAAAATTAAAAAAAAATTCTCAAAAATTCTACAAAAAATTCTGAAAAATTTTTATAAAAAATTTTATAGAAAAAATTTAAACGAGTATCCCTCATTTCTTTCATTCTACAGTAACCTATTAATTCTAGAAACTATTGGAAACACTATCAAGTGATTTTATTGAGTGACTTATAGCAACGCTTGTGGCTCAGTCGGTAGTGCTTCAGCCTTGGTATCTTTATAGGGTGTGGTTCGACTCTTCTTAGGGCCTAACATGTTTTTTAGTTATTTTTGTAATTAAAATTAACCAAAAAATTAATTTTTCACCTTTATCAAACTAAATAAATTTTTTGAAAACACCTTCCAAGTTAATTTCTATTTTTGTAACATTTTCAAAAAAGCTCATCAAAGAACAGCTTATAATTTATTTTTATATGGATGTGTAAAACGTCATTTATTTACAGCAATTAATAAATCAGAATTAGCTTTCTAGCTTTATTTAAAAGTTTTCTGGTAATGTCTATTTTTATTTTTACGTAGGAATGACGCAGAATTTTGATGTAAATTTGTGTTATTTTTTTATTAGTCGGAAATGGCTACTAAAAAGTGTAAATTAGGAAAAAATAAAATTTAATTTTAAATTAAATTAAAAATATTATAAAATTAATTTTATAATATTAACAAAAATTTTTTTTAATTTATTAATTAAAATAGGTATCAGAAAACTTTAGAAAAAATTTAAAATGTTTGAAAAGAACTTTAGTTATTTTTAGGTTTTAGACTTTTGAAAGTACTCTCAGTTAAAAATTCATGTCTCAGGCTATGTCTAACTTTAAGAGGTAAAAATCAAATACCGTATTTACTCGATTAATTCCCCCGAGGAATTATTTTTTCAACCCATCCGTGGCATGGGGAATTAATAGGGGGTGTGGAATTATTCGAGTTTTGAAATTTGAACGTGTAGTAGGGTATTCAAGGGTGGGGAATTATTTTTTCAACCTATCCCCGGGATGGGGAATTAATAGAGGGTGGGGAATTATTTGAAGGTGGGGAAGTAATCGAGTAAATACGGTAGGTTAATTTGGGAGATTAAGAGAAGTTGTGATCAAAGAAATGAGTAAAGTCTTCACAAATAAGGCTTTTTTTGAGCATAATTATTTCTATTTTAATCACAAAATAATGAATTTCTAGAGTTTCGTACAGAATTTAATTTCTATTGAATGAGCTATAAAGCTAGTAAAACGATTTAGCCATTCTTGTTTATTTAATATCTACTATAATCTACTTCTCCTGAACCAGGGCTAATGTTAATTACCGTATATCCTTTAATAACTACCCTGGGTAATTATTGTTTCGACCTTCCGCTGGAGGGGGTAAATAATAGAGGTGGGGTAATTATTTGAGGGAGGGTAATTATTATTTCGACCTCTACATATTTTATCCTAGCATAGACAGAAACTGGGATATACGATATGATACCGAATGTGGAGGTAAATGTTAACGTTTTTTAGAACTGATCTATATTCCTTTAATATATTCCTATATAATGTACCCCAAAATGGTACCATAGCACCAATGCTTCCGACTTAGGATATATAAAGACACTGTATCTTACATAAATGTCTATAATATACCCTAAAGTGGTAATATACCCTAAAAATATACCCTAAAAACGGGATAAAATAAAGACACATAGTCTATCGCAACTATTTCTCGGGGTGTAAGTATATGTAAAAATATATATCAAAGGCTTTGTAGATAAAAAAGGATTAAGGTTTATATCTTTTGACCGTTTTTTAATTTTTTTGGAGGGAGAAAAAAAAAGGAGGAGAAGGTAAGGCATGCATTGTAAAAAAATTTCTGCCAAACATGTACGGGAATGGTGGGAGATAATGTGATAGTACCTTTTTTAATAAATATTTTTAAATTAGTGAGGAAAAATAGGGGGTAATTATTCGAGGCAGGGTAATTATTGTTTCAACCTCTCGCTAGAGGGAGTAACTAATAGAGGTGGGGTAATTATTTGAGGGAGGGCAATTAATACAGGTTATACGGTAGTTAAACCGTTTAATTAATCGTCAATAAATTTTAAAAATAAAACAAAAAAATTTTTCACTAAAAAATATCAAGAAGGAAGTGAAATAGACTGTCTAGAAAATATAAATTTATATTCAATTCAATTCAATTCAATTTATACGCAATAAAATACGTGACATTCAGATAAAACAATCATTTAAAAAAAAATAATATAAGTGAATCATTTGTATTTGATGGTCTGGGGAATAAATAGTTTTACTGTGATAAATTTTTGTTAAAAATGTGAGATAGATCGAGTGTGTTTAAGAGCTTAGGAAACAGATCGGTGGATGCTTTTTGAATATCTGTAGGGAGTTTTCTATAGATATCTGGGATTTTAACGAAAAATGAGTTTTTTCGAATTGTGGTTGAACAAAATGGGATAAAGATATTGTGTGGATTACCTCTAGTAGTGGTTGGTTTGGTTGTATAATAGTCAAGGTGTGAGAGTTGGATTTTACCGGAGATAATATTGTGGAATAGAATAAGGCTAGATTTTAGACGCCTATGTGATAGAGGTTCAAGTTGAAACAATTCGAGGAGTTTATGATAGTCAGGTAATTGTTTTGAGTTTTTAGTTTTGCCCGAACGTAAATAAACAATTTGGAGGAATTTCTTTTGAACATTTTCAAGGGAAAGTATATCTTTCTGAAGGTAAGGGTTGAAAACAGGCGATCCAAATTCAAGGATTGGAAGAACGTAAATTTTAAAGAGAGTTATAAGAAAGTTTGGGTTTCTTGTTTTGAGTGATCTAATAATGGTGAAGTAGGTTCTTGTAGCTTTTGCAGTGATTATCTTAATATGGGACTCCCATTTTAAGTCGGATGTGAAGTGGATACCCAAGTCGCGAATGCTTTCATTTTGTTGTGTAATTGGGATTGGGGAGTTTTCTAAGGAATATTCATGATTTGGATTTTTAGAGCCAATGTGTAGAGATTTGCATTTATTTATTGAGATTTTAAGGCCGTTAATCTTACAATAGTTTGAAAATTTATTAATAAAGTTTTGGAGTGGAGAGTTATATTTATTAAAATTTTAATATTTAAATAAGGGATAAGAATCAGATTGCGCAATTTGAATAAAATGACGGTTTCCCCCTCAATTTCCTTCTATTTTGTTGTTTTCCTTTTTTTCTAAATTTTTTTTCGTGTTATTTCCTCAATTTCCTCTTAGTTTCTATAATTCCAAATAAAAATAATATTTATTTTAGTAATAAATCCACCTCCTTCTCCGTCATATACTAAGCTTTACTACGTAATAAACAAGCGTTGAAAATCCTTAAAGAGGAAAGAAGAAGATCAAAAGACTAAAAATGGATGTTAGGGGAACGTCACGTTTGTGGAAAGGCTTTTTATTTTTATGCTAAAATGACGTTAAATTAATATAGAGGAAAGGAAAGACAGAAAACAGAAAATATTGCCATTTTAAGTGGTTTGGGTTAAATAAGTTTTTCTGGAATAAATACAAACAAAAACACAAAAAATTATAAGAAAAAATACATAATTAAATCAGAATTAAGGTAAAACACAAAATAAATAAAAATCAGAATTAAAGTAAAACACAAAACAGAATTAAGGTAAAACACAAAATAAATAAAAATCAGAATTTAATTGATAAATAAAAAAATACAAAAATCAGAATTTAATATTATAACAGAAAAACACAAGGAAAAATCAAAATTTCAAATCAGAATTTAAATATTATAATAGAAAAAACACAAATAAAAATCAGAATTTATTTGATAAAATACAAAAACACAAAAATCAGAATTTTAAATCAGAATTTTAAATATTATAACAGAAACACACAAATACAAATCAGAATTTACTTGATAAAATACAAAAACACAAAAATCAGAATTTTAAATCAGAATTTTAAATATTATAACAAAAACACACAAATACAAATCAGAATTTAATTTACAGTAAAATACAAACCTGCCTAACCACCCAACAAACAAAAATATTAAAAACCAAACTCAATTAAATTTTATTGCCTTTCTTGTTTCCAAGGTGTTTAACCGCCTTTCCATGCCATTTATTTCTTTCTCATTATTATTTCCGAGCAATTTATTTCAGGTTTTGTTTGACAGCCAGAAACCTATTAAGCTTAAAAACGCCACTTTTGTTTTACCTGCGCATTTTCTTTTTGCAATTTAAAGTCAATAAAAATCTTAAAAGATTTTGCCGAGACTTTTTTCGTTAGAAATTTCTTTGTTTTTTTGTTTTTTATTTACCAGAATAATTTCCTTCCCTTTTAAAAATGTTTTTAAATTTCCTCCTCATTTTACCTACTGTAATTCAGGTCATTGAGTAGACACCAGTTAACCCTCTGTGCTAAAATCCAAAATTAATTTTTCGAGATACTTTTGGTACCATTCGATAGAGAATTAAATTGCCTACAAAATAGGCTTAGAATTGTAATTTTATATTTATTTGCAAAAAAGTTATGGTCGAAAAATGGTCGAAAATGGTTAAAAAGGGCAAAAATATTAGTTTTTAGACTTCAACTTTTTTTGCTAATTTATAGAAAAAATTATTTTAAATTTTATTTAATAGAAAATTTAATTCTCTATCGAATGATATATGATCTAACCAAAACTGCCCAATAGTTTATGAGTTATCTTTAAAAAACACAACCTACCTTAACGCCTATCCCTTCCTTCCAGCTTGAAGCGAATTAAAAAGCTTAATAAACACATTAGTATTTTACCTGTGTAGGCGGCTAATAAAACATAAAAACTGACAAATAAATGACAACATTTTTTGTGTGAGAGTAAAAAAAATAAAAATAGATTGACTTTATATTTTTAATTTTTTGAAATTTGTGAAAAGAAACGGAAAACTTGGAAAATTCTGAAAAAATTCTGGAAAAATTCTGAAAAAATTCTGATTTTTAATATTAAAGATCCTCCAATATTCCTTTACTAAAAATTATTCAAAATGAAAATGCGCGCTCTCTTGTCCTGTTTATTTAACGATGACGGCCAAGATTCAGTCGGCACAGGTGCTACTTTCGATCCAGATGAGCGATGGTCTAATGTTTACAGGGAAAGGGAAAAGAATTCAATTTATAAATGGGTTGGGATTAGAACGGGTAACTTCAAAAAATTTTTTTAAATTTTAAATTAAATTTAATAAAGGTGGAGAATTAATTAGTGTTTATGAGAAGGAAGGCGAAGAGGGGGTGCTTAGTTTTGCTCAAGAGAAAATCGAATCCAGGTTGATAAAAGATTTTTTAAAATAATGATAGATTATCGAAATTATATTAAAAATTTATTTTACGCCAAAAATAATCATTACGCCAAAAATTTATTTTTTACGCCAAAAAATAATTTTACGCCAAAATTTACGACAAAAAATTTTTTACGACAAAATAATTTTTAAAAATTAAGTTTGTACAACGACGGCCAGTCCCCTCAATTAATAAAATTTGCCGATTATGTAAGATGGAAAAAATCGGTAAATATAGAATTTGGGATATCCGACGAGAAGGAAGACTTTAACGAAGCAAAATCCGCCTTCCGAGAACACGAAGCACAATGGCGTTTAAATAAAAGAGGAGTAGAAGGAGAAACATTAATACATTTATTGTTAAATAGAGAAGAGCCTGTATGTCAAGAAATTGCTAGAATACTTGTAAATAAATATCCGGGATTAGCTAAGGATATTTATTTGGGAGAGGATATGTTTGGTTTGTTTTTAGGGTTTGAAAATACAAATGGGGATAAAGTGAAAATACAAAAATCAGAATTAATAAAAAATACAAAAAAACACAATTAAACAAGAAAATACAAAAATCAGAATTAACAAAAATCAGAATTATTTTTTATTAATACAGAATGGGAAAAACACAAAACCAGAATTTTTATTGAAACAAAAACACAGAATCAGAATTATTTTTTTTACAAAATAGGAAAATACAAAATAGGAAAATACAAAACCAGAATTATTTTAAAGTATAAAAACACAAAATCAGAATTATGTGTTTTATTAAGGCAAGATAAGAAAATACAAAAACAGAATTTTTAGTAACAAAAAATTAGAATTATTTTTAAACATACAAACACATAAAACACAAAACCAGAATTATTATTAATAATAAACGAAACACAAAAATCAGAATTATTATCTAAAATAAAAATTAATAATTAAATAAAACACAAACCAGAATTTATTTAATAAAAACAAAATACAAAATATTTAAAGGCCAAAGCTGTCTCCACCTTTCTATAGTCCATGATGACTATGACACAGTACAATTATTATTGGAAAGTGGTGCTTCTGTAAATGCTAGGGCTACTGGGGATTTTTTCATGCCTGAAGATTGGGAAGAAAAAGACATAAAAACTATGGATTATCAGGGATATGCTTATTATGGGGAATATCCCTTGGCTTTTGCTGCTTGTTTTGAGAACAAGGATATTTATGATCTTTTGGTAAAAAAGTTGATTTAGAGGGTCATAAGAGGGCCATTAGAGGGCCTCTCAACTGGGAAAAAATAATTTAATTTCTAGATTCAGTATGGTGCTAACCCTGACCTTCAAGATATGTTTGGGAACACTGTGGTAATTTACCCTTCCATAAAATTTTTAAAAAAATTTTTTAAAATTATTTTTAGTTACACATGTGTGTTATTAAAAACAAAAATGTAAGCAAAAAAAATTTAATTTTAATTAAATTTAAAAAATTCTAGGCAATGTATAGCTACGCTGTCAGGCATTGGCATAAGCCTGCACATACTAACATTGTAAATCATGCAAGTTATACCCCTTTAACGCTCGCTACAAAACTTGGAAGACGACAAATATTTTATGAAATGTTGGAATTAATGAAGGTCGAGTTTTGGCGATTTTCTGACATGACATGCAGTGCTTACCCTCTGGATGCTTTAGATACAATTAGACCGGATGGATCAACAAGTGTGTTTTTTAAGTTGAAATAGAGAATAAAAATCAGAATAAAATAAAAACACAAATAAATTCAATGGAAAATACAAACCAGAATTTAGAATTATTAAATCAGAATTTTAAATCAGAATTGCTATATCAGAATTCCAAAATCAGAATTCCCCAATAAGAATTCATAATAATATGTACAAATCAGAATTTCTAAATCAGAATTCCAAAATCAGAATTCTTATATCAGAATTTTAAATCAGAATTGCTATATCAGAATTCCAAAATCAGAATTCTTATATCAGAATTTTAAATCAGAATTGCTATATCAGAATTCCAAAATCAGAATTCTTATATCAGAATTTCTAAATCAGAATTTCACGATAAGAATTAATAATAATACAAATCAGAATTAAGAATAATTAAATCAGAATTTTAAAATCAGAATTCTCTAATAATATCAGAATTAAAATCAGAATTATATAAAATACACAAAAAACACAAAATACAAACCAGAAAATACAAAAATACATTTTATAGACTATGACTCTGCATTAATGACAGTAATTAACGGAAACACTCCAGACCACTTGGAGATTATTGGAAGTGAAGTAATTCAGCGTTTATTAGCCGACAAATGGAAGGCTTTTGCTGAAGTAATTAATTAATTAATATAATTAATTAAAAATATTTTCAGCGTAAATTATTCCAGCGGTTAGCTTTATTGGTATTCCATCTTATTTGTATTTGCTTTGTTGTGTATTTACGCCCTGTAGAAACTGACAGATTGTATTTAATAAGGCCTATATGGCCAGATTGGGTAGTTTTTAATTAAATAAATGTTGGATAGCGGTATAAGATAAATTAAATGCTGGGATGGGTAAATTAAATTTTATAACGATACCCGATACATTGGTAGGTGCGACTCTGGAAGCTGGCTCTGATGCTCAAAGTCGGATTAAGAAACACGATTTGAAGTTATAAGCCTTTTCGAATCTATAAAACGCTCAGACCCAACACCGGTCGTATCATAAATCGACTAAGCCTGAATCATCTTTAGTCGTCCACTCAGGCATCTTGAGGAGTATCCTATTACCAAGGATATCTTAATTCTATATCGAGATTCGACAATATTTTATTAAAATTTTTTAATTTATAACAGCTCCGGACAGTTTTCGAAATATTAACAATCATAAGCTGTTTATGGTTCGTATTAGGCCAACAATTGAGTGAACTACGCACCCAAAGCATTTATGACTACTTAAGAAATTTGGTAAATTAGCCTAAAAATTTGGAAATTAATTATAACATTAGATGAATGCCCCCTCCAAAATTGTTTATTTATTTGCAAATTTGTGCCTTCTCGCCTGTGCTGTATTAAGAATTTTAAGAATGCCTCTTTTGGAAGAAGCTGTATTGTCTTTTGCTTTGCCCGGTTTTCGACTGAATTTAATTCTAAAAATTTAAAAAAATTAAATAGGTTCCTGGATTTTTCTTTTATTTTTTGCCCGTAGTGCTAAACTCACTGGACCCTTTGTCCAAATGATTTATAGCATGATTGCTGGAGATATGGTAATTATTAAAAAAAATTTTTTTTGAAAATTTTATAATTCTCAGTTTCGATTCTCCATCATTTCTTCAATATTTCTGATATCCTTCTCGCAGGCATTTTTCTTTTTGGGAAAGGATATAGATGCAAAAAGGGTATTTAATGTTTTATTATAGAAATATGGTCTGACCTCACATTTAAATAACATCTTGGGCAATTAAAAATCTAGAATTATATCCCAATTATATACTCTAAGACACGCCCAAGTAGTAACGGAAAGCTATAACTAGCTGGAAAATTTATGGCTCTTATCAACCTTGTTACCAAATTCATTAGTATTAAATTTGATAATATTCAGGGATCTTTATGGCTTGGCACCTACTTGGCCACGCGCCTACTTGGGTCTTACCCATATACTCCGGCACTCCGCCCCAAGCGTTCGAGGTACAATCCTCTAAAAATTAGTCTTGAATTGAAATTATCTAAGTATTGAGATACCCTAGAGTGAGGTCCGACTGTACATATTTTATAAAAATATAAAAATAAATTTTATCAAGGGCCTTGGTATAAATGATACTAATTATTGTGAAGCGGACCACAAAGTTACTAATTACGCCTCGGCGCTGGATACGTTCATGACTCTTTTTAGAATTTGTATGAATGGAATGGATGTAATTTTAAATAAAATAAATAAAAAAATTTTTTTAAACTGAAAGTATGAAGAATTCGGCTGCACTAATTATGAACCTCTTGCCAAAACACTTTTTGTTCTTATGATGTTTATTATGCCTATAGTGAGAATTAATTAATTTTAAAATAATTTTTAATTTAAAAATCTAAAGATGATGACCAACATCCTTATTGCAATGATGGGGACAACCTATACTAATATTATAAGCCAGGCAGAAATGGCTTGGAGACAGCAAGTTGGAATTCTTATTTAAATAATTTTGAATTTCCGGAAGACTAATTATACATATAAAAGAATATATTTTTCCTGAACTTAAGAGAATTTATATAGTTTCCGGAATTTATATAGTTTCCGGAAAATTAATTCAAGTTACCGGAAAATTTATATGTTTCCGGAATACATCCGGAAAGAAAATATAATTTTACCGGAATACTAAATAGTTTTACGGAAAATTAAATAGAACTTCCGGAAAGCTAAATTAAAATTCCGGAAAACAATTTTCTTTTCCGGAAAACATTTATAATTTCCGGAAAACATTTATAAATTCCGGAAAACATTTATAAATTCCGGAAAATATTTATTATTTCCGGAAATCATTTTTATACTCCCAGAAGATACTCCTATTTTTCCGGAAATAATTATATTACCCCAATCTTTTCCGGATAACTTCTTTTTAACTCAAAAATTTCAAGTACGCCCAAATCGTTATGGTTTTGGAGAGAAGTGTGGATAAACGAACATTGGCAACAGTACAGCTTGATTATTCTATTAGAATGAATGACCCTGGGAGAGAGACACGAGGGCTAATGGTTATTAGGCAAACTAAAAAGACGAGAGCTAAACAGCGAAAACAAGCTATTGCCAATTGGAAAGTAAAAAAATTTTCAAGGATTAAAAATTGTAAAAAAATTTTAAAGTCAATAGGCCGCAAAATTATCACAATGGCCAAAGAACTTGGATTAGAAGCAACAAGTTATTTACTTCACAGTCACGACAGACTAGTCACCGATGAGACTGTTGGGGGAGGTGGAGGGCAGAACCCTAGAAACTCTTTTGGAATACGCCCTCCAACCTCGATAGCTGGTAATAGTTCTCCAAACAGTTACAGACCTGGTGGAGGGAGGAAGATATATACAAGAGGTGTTGGAGATGGTGGAGGGGAGGATGCTGGTGATCGGGAGGAGAATATAAAACTAAACGCTGGAAATGACAATACTAACGTAATTTTAGTACAAAATAAAATTTCCGGAACATTAAATAATATTTATGAAAAATTAATTGTTGTTTCCGGAAATAAATAAAGTAGCTAGTTAAGAAAATACAATTTCCGGAAGACTATATAACCTCTTCGGAATATTATATATTGTTTCAGGAAAACTGAAATAGTTTCCGGAATAATAATTTCACCTTAATATTAAATTAAGTTTCCGGAAACTTAAATAAAGTATTTTGTAAACTTAAGTTTCCGGAAAGAATAAATAAAACTTAAGTTCACTAAAAACTTTCCGGAAAAAATAATACTTAAGTAAAACTAGAAAAGTTTCCGGAAAGAATAAACTAAACTTAAGTTCATACTATAAAACTTTCGGAAAAATATATATTCTTCTTTATTACAGCAGCATGTCAACTTCCAATACTATCGCCTAGAAGATCGCCAAATGTCTCCAGCATTGCGTTCTGTCGTTACCCATGCAGCAATAAACAATGCAAAATTAATGCAGATGAATAATCAAAAACAGCTTCAGCTAGCAGGCAATCGAAAACTTGCAAATGGAAATATACTTCCCGGAGTAGCAGACGCAGCTAGAAGGCTTTTAGTTTCAGCTAAAGGAACATCAGAAGAGCGAATAATTTCATCGTTTACCGAAATTCAGTTACCTGTCTATTCCAATATTAGAAACCAACAACACCAACACGTTCATCTTACCCAACGTAAATTAGTTCCCTCTGTGGGAAGTAGAGTAAGAGGTGTTGAAATGTTACCTTCTAACGATGTTCCAAACATTCCTGCTTCGGAAATTAAGACAGGTAAAACTAGCTGTTCCTTAATTTTTGTAGGGGTCTTTTCAATTACCTAGTTACTCATATGGAAAGGTTTTCTCAGTAGATAGTGTTTCCAATCTCCAAGCAATTCCTTTTCATAGATACTTCAGGATACCTATCTCAAGATATACTTGTTGAAGTTCATGAGGGTCATAGCTGGATCACCATTAAGGGAATCTTAACTTAGGATTACACCTAGAGCCCCAGCTTAGACTCACTTAGGATCATATTCATCTGGAGCCATTAGACTACAAGTCAAATGGGAGTTCCTGCAACTCAGGTTCTTTCCTTCAAAATCCTTATGAATTCTTTAAGGAGGTTCAGGTCTATTTTTAAAGATCTATTCCATTAAACCACCTGATTATTAAAGAATAAAATTTAAAGATTTCAACTTCCCTCCACCATTATACGAGGAAACTGAAGTAGATGGCAACAGAAATACAATAATACAAATGGATGAAGGCAGAATAGTAACTAATAGCGAGCCTTCAAGTGATAACGAAAATGGAAGACAAAATCGTTACAAGAAGCGGCTATCAACCGAAAACATTTCGTCCCTCTCCATTAATGATAAAGTTAAGGCAGCAAATTTGTTCCGTAAAAAAGACAGTCCACAAGAAGCCGCGGCTAAAGGAAAACGAAGAACAATAAAAATAAATAAATCTGCTTCAATATCCGCTTCGTCTTCTGCAGCTTCTTCTAATGATTCCAGGGTTGTTAACAAAAAAGAAAAAAATATATCGAGTAAGGATGATAAGAAATCTTGATTTTTTTTCAAATGTATTAGAGGGATTGTTTGGGTTTAAGGGTGGTGGAGTCGGATATACTAAAAAAAGCATATATCCGAAAATTTCGATCATATATCGGATCTAAATATCTGAAGATTTCTCATAGACCGCCAGTCATAGTAGGGTTGTTTTAAGTTGTTCATATGTTTATAAGTTTGTTCATATGTATTAGAGGGTTGTTTGGATTTAAGGTTGGCGAAGTCTCATACACATAAAACCATATATCCTAGGAAAGGCCATTAATCCGAAAATTTCGATTCGGATATTGGATCTGAATATCTAAAGATTTCCCATAAACGGTCAACCATAGTAGGGTTGTCTGAAACTCGATAAACCCGGAAATACGGCACGAGAACGTCCGACCATAACTTCGGATCCGACCCATCCGACCATCGACATATTATATGTATGTTATAATATTCTCTAAAATTTCTATATGTATTTTATTTTTCTGTATTATAAATGTTTAATGTTTATAGCGAAGATAAATGTAGGCAGAAATTTATAAAAATTCAAAATTAAATTAAATATATCTTTGCGTCTAAAATAACTACAAGTCTTTGAAATTATCAATAAATCCGCATAATATCCTCAATATTTCTTTTCCGTATATCCGGAACGAGTACGCCTTCAGCAGGATATCCCAGAGGGAGTAGAACGCTTACTTTTTCATTTATTGGCCTTTGCAGAATTTCACGTATAGCAGACCCCGCATTTAAAGGAGTGGAGACAACAGTAACTAGACCGGCATTCTTAAATTTCAAATTTATAAAAAATAAATTCTGATAAATTTTTAAGTCTCAAAAACTAAAGCTGAAAAAAAATTCTGAAAATTTCTCTTTCTCTTTTGAGTCTCAAAAAATAAAGCTGAAAAAATTCTTCAGAAATTTCTGAAAAATTCTGAAAAATTTCTGAAAATTCTGAAAATTCCTGAAAAAAATTTCTGAAAACCAGAAAAAGTGTCTGAGTTTCTAAACACCCTACCTGAATCGCAGCAACCAAAATGCCCACAGCTATAGACGTGCTTTGTTCACTGTAGTGAGTCGGTTTCCTCTCCCCCTGTTCATCCAGATAATAGGGCTGAAAACCTTGTTATATTTTCTTAAAAAAATTTAGGAAACAAACATGTTTCATCACAACAATTAAATAAGGCGCTTCTGTCAAGTAAGGCTTATTCCAATTTACGTTCAAATGGGAAACATCCAAAACCCATTGAGCACCCATTCTGCGTGTATAGTTTAGTTGTTCTTGTTCTTCCACAACTTCTCTTATCGCCCTTTTGATTTTGGGGCTTTGAACTATGCAGAAAGTCCAAGGCTGCAGGTTTGCCCCGCTTGGGGATGTTCCTGGAATTGAAAAAAAATTTTTAATTGAATTTATTCATAACATAGTCAGATCCCATTGAGGTAAAAAAAATAATTGGGGTAAAAAATAATTCATATATATGCAGTATGTTAAATATGTTGGGTCGATTAGATAACTACTTCCTCAACCTATAGGACATCGAAATATTTTGAACAACGGGATATCTAATTCTTTGAATATCTTGTAGTGGGGATCGAGTGTTCTGTGGGTTCTTATAGTGTTAGTCAATTAATCTGAGGATGTCACATAGGGATGACGACTATTCTGAGAGTATCTTATAATGAGAATCGTCTGTATTCTAAAAATACTTTTTAAAGTATTACCTGCAGTTTTTATCAAATTCTGCACAAGTTTAATAGACACAGGTCTACTGCTGAAACAACGAACACTTCTCCTTGATTTCATTTGTTCATAAAAAAGTTGGGAGCGTTTAAGCATCTCATGTTCAGTAAATTTAATTGGGTGATAAGGCAGTTCAACGGGAAATTGCTGTAAAATGTTGTCATGTTCTTCTATTGCCATATCCAGGTCTGATCCCACCTTTTTTTTAAACTTTTTTGCTCCCAAAATTTTTTTTCGAAAGGATTCCAATAATTGAATATGAGGAGGACAGAAGTATATCTCTCATTCTACCGTAACCAGAATTTTTTCAAGGAGGTTAAAAGGGAATTAAGAGGCAATTAAGGTCTAAGAGAGGATTACATGTAAGAAAAATTTTAAATGTAGTCCTATATTGATAAATATTTTAGTTGGCTACTTTAGATTGAAACGCTCGAGCCCATCCCAGAGAATAGCAAGGGATGGGATGAGTCTTGATCTTAAGAAAAATAATTTTTAAAAATTAACCAACCCCTTTATCCACATACTCCTTCTCTTCACCATTTTCCTCCTTTTTATTGCTACTTTTTCTTCTATCAGATCCTCTATCTCCACCTTCAGATAACTTTCCTCTTAACGAACTTATGGATGCCCTAACCATTCTTTGAGCATTTCTCGTTAGAAAGGAGCGCAGAAGTGCTCTGAATTGAACAAATATGAAGGTAGCTACAACTGTAAACGCTGCAGAATTTAAATGCCAAGTTTGTATTGAATTTACAAAACTTGTACTGGTAGAATTTGTTGGTGAAGAGGAAACGGAAGGGTGTTGGGGTTGGCACATTTTTGTGTGGGAGGGGTTTTTTTTTGGGAAATTAAAATTTTTCGTGAAGAAAATTTTTTTTTTCGGGAAAGGGAAAAATAAAAATTATTTTTTAAAAGAAAAATAAGAAGAGTTAAATAACCTCCAAAAAAATTTACCCAAACACCAACTATTTTTTTTTTCGCCTTTCCTCAATTTGATTGATCAGTGAAGAGATTGATTGCTCTATATGATAGCGAATTTCTAGTTTATTTTATTGATTATTAATAAAATAGGAAAAATGGTGGGGCTGTTAATTTGTTTTTTTAACAAATAAAATTGTTTGGCAAAAATTTTTATTATTGGCAAATAGGAAAAAATTCAAAAAATTGTTTGAATACATAATGTAGTAATAATATGAGCATGCAGAGATTATAAATAATTCCGGAAATTATTAAATTTAAATTATGGGTGAATTAAACTTTTTCCGGAAAATATAGTTCTGTCAAGTTTATTAGTAAAACAAATTCCGGAAATAATAAAAAGTTTCCGGAAATGTATTTACAAATTGTTTTTCCGGAAATAATTTTTCAGGAAAAATTAATAATTTTCCGGAAATGGTAATACAAATATATTTTCCGGAAATGGTAATACAAATATATTTTCCGGAAATGGTAATACAAATATATTTTCCGGAAATGGTAATACAAATATATTTTCCGGAAATGGTAATACAAATATATTTTCCGGAAATGGTAATACAAATATATTTTCCGGAAATGGTAATACAAATATATTTTCCGGAAATGGTAATACAAATATATTTTCCGGAATTTCATAGTCTTCCGGAAAATTGTACTACAAATTTATTTTTCGTAAATAATAATGTTCCGGAAAGTGTAATTACAATTTGTAATATTATTTCATTAAAATAAAAGTTTGTATTTTCCGGAATTATTACTATATTAATAACCGGAAATTATTACAATTTATAATTACAAATTGTAATTTTATTTAAGCACTATTTACAATTTCATTTCTCCATTTTCTAATAAAATTAATACTCGGTCTCCTCATTCCTTTACCCTTACTTGGTCTTGATTTACAAGCATGATGTAGTAATGCTACTACAGGAGGTACTGATAGGTCAAGAGCATATTCTTCAATACTATTTTGTGAACGTAGAGATTCTTGCTTGTTTTGCTGGAAAGAAAATTTTTTTTTATTTTTCGAAAATTTTTTGAAAAATTTTTTTGAAAATTTTTTAAAATTTTTGAATTTTTTTGAAATTTTTTTTGAAAATTTTTTGAAAAATTTCTGAAAATTTTTGAAAATTTTTGAAAATTTTTGAAAATTTTTGAAAATTTTTGGAAATTTTATCAAAATTTTTTGAAAAATTTTTGAAAATTTTTTTGTAAATCTTTAAAATATTAACCAATTCTTTAGTATTTTTAGCTTCATTTTTAACACCCCCAGAATTATCAACATCGTCAGAACTTAAATCTTCGGAAGACGCAACAGGCGCTAATGGGGGCAATTCTTGTATTAATTTAGCCTTTTCTTTATCCAAAAAGTCCAATTGTTCTTCAAATAATTGTTTAGCTGTTTCAATATTTTTTTCTTTTTCTTTAATTGTTAAATTATTCTTATTTTTATTTTCTTCCTCGTTATTGTTTAAATTTGTAGAAATTATTTTTGTTGTTGTGGATATTTTTGGGGTTATTAAATTATCCTTATTTTCGTTAGTTGTAGAATCTGTGCTAGACAATGTGGGTATCATTGTTCCGGTAGATGCTCGTCTATGTTCTTCAATACGTCTCAAGTTTTCGGTGACCTAATATATTTAAGTAGAAAATAAAATTTTAATTAAATGAACTTTCCGGAAAGAAAATAACTATATTTTCCGGAACCTATATAATTTTATAACCGGAAAAATAAATATGATAATAACCGGAACATTTAATTTTCTTTCCGGAAATTATATAACTCTAGATAATAAAAGAAATATAAACTTTCCGGAATAGAAATATAACTATACTTTCCGGAACCTATATAATTATATATAAAATAAATATCATAATAACCGGAACATTTAATTTTCTTTCCGGAAATTTTATAACTCAGGATAATAAAAGGAATAATAAATCAACATTCCGGAAAGTAAATAACTATAGAAATACAGAGAATAATAAATTAACTTTCCGGAGCTTATAAAGTTAACTACAATAATTATTCCTTATAATTATAGCTAGAAATACAACTCTTAAATTTATTTTTATAAATTAAACTAGAAATACAACTCTCAAATTTATTTTTATAAATTAAACTAGGTATACCTTTTCTGTAGCCCCTTCTAGCTCAACAATTTGAGAGAGTGTTTCCTGAAGGTGATGGAGTTTATCCTCTATTAGTGTTTGAACGCATATAGCCTTGAAAAAAATTTCTTAATAGATTTTTGCCTTCCCTTTATTTTTTGTATTTTTATTTAAATTTTCGAAATTATGTACCTGTTTTTGAACGTCCATAAGTTGTTCTTGTGCATGTACCGTTGTATTCCTTCGAACTATACATGGGGCAAATATTACCTTTATTTCATTTAAAAAATTTTTATTCGAAACTTAGAAAAAAATATTTTTACAGCTAAATTAGAAGCAGACATTTTATTTACAGATTCTTGATGTGCTACTCTTGCTAAATTTAATTTTTAAAGAATTCAAAAAAATTTTTCGATATTCTACCCAAATGATACATAAGCCTGTCCAAGACACATTTATTTCCTTTGGGTAACATATCCATCATGGCACGTAAACACCTTACCCTTTCATTTGTTTCTTTAATTTCTTAAAAATATTTTAAAAAATATTTAAAGGAAATATTCAAGTTACCAGATATATTTACAAAATTCTCGTATAAATCAGGTATAATTAGAGGTTCTGATAATTCACGGAAAAATGCTTTTATTAGACTTGTAAGTACATGAATTGGAATGTCGTCAAAGTTGATAGCTTCCGGTTCTGAATATTGAATTAAAAGAAAAATATAACTTTCCGGAAAGGAAAATTTTGTATTAATATTAAACGTTCCGGAAATTATATTCTGTAACGTTATATCAATAATATTCCGGAATTCAATAATAATGTTAAACCTTCCGGAAATAAATAAAAATCTTTCCGGAAAAATAACTCAGAAAATTATTAAAGCAAACTTTCCGGATATTAAAAAGAAAACTTTCCGGAAATCATAATACAATATCAATACATATCAAACGTTCCGGAAACTATATTATTAATAATATTCCGGAATTAAATAAAAATGTTAATCCTTCCGGAAATATAAATAAAATTTTTCCGGAAAAATAACTCAGAAAATTATTTAAGCAAACCTTCCGGAAACAAAACTTTCCGGAAAAATAACTAATATTCTTGTAAGTATAACTATGAGCTTTTTATAATTAACTTTGATTAACGCTGAAACTTTCCGGAAATAACCGGAATATCAGGAAGGCTATACCTCTACAATATTTTCTGTTCTATTTACCTTTAATTGTCTCAATCTTCTTCCTTATCCCTTTAAAGACAGCCATCTGCCCACTCTTTCTATAAATTCCTTCAACAAATAAAGCTTTAACTTCGACACAATTAAGTAATTTATTTAGTAAAGCAGGGACTTCATCATCTGCCAATAAATTGGCCAAATCTGTGCCGAAAAATTTGGAACAGGTCTAAAATTTAAGGGAAAATATGGGGATAAATTAGAAATATTAACAGACCGGTTGGTCATTATTAGCCTTAGGACAGACATAATTAACACGTGAATGGCACTTTTTGTGGCAGGAAAGGCGACAGGCAAAACAAACGAAAATCTGTCGTAATTAATAATTTAACAAATAAATAATGAAGAATATCAACCCTTTCAGCATGCCACATAAAAACATTACAAATCTCGCAATATGTGGGAATATGAACATAATCTAGACTAAATTGGTGACCATTATGTATCTGAACAAAAATAAAAAGATTAAACTTGAAAATAAATAAATTAAAATACTTCTGAATATATATTTCTATGTATTTCCGGAAAGGAATAACTCCAAATAATTGTGTTATAATTTCTTTCCGGAATATTAAATACAAATAATTCAGGAAAGAATATTTCTATTTCCGGAAAAGAATAACTCTAAAAAATTCGGGTAATAATTTAAATAAACTTTCCGGAAACTATATAAAATTAAAATACTTTTCCAGAATATTATTAAAGTTTCAAGAAAAATAGAAATGTTTCCGGAAAAGTATAACTATAAATAATTTTGGAAATAATTTAAATAAACTTTCCGGAAACTAAATAAAAATTTATTTTAATAAACTTTATAGTTCTAAATTAATAAACTTGCCGTTATATCAGAACGTCTCCGTTTCTTTTTAACCGTCTGAAAATACAAAAATACAAAATTAAAATTTTATGAATAGTAATTTTGCCTTTATTATAGAACTCTTTTTAGACGAGCTTCTTCGCTTTCTCTGCTCCATAAATTCATTGAGGAAGCCTCGGAAGGCATTAACTCCTTTAAATTTTTTTAAATTATTGTAGCAATATTTCATAAATTTACCCAAGGTCGTAGGAAACGTAAGCTTTTCTTCATTACAAATTTTGGTTAACAATCCCTCAAAGGTACGTATTAAATCATGATATTTTAACGTTGTGCTTCCTCTCTGGAAAAAAAAATTTTTAAAAAATTTTTTGAAAATTTTTCTTTAAATAATTTATTAAAATTTTGCCTGTAAAGTAGCTTCCATCCCAATTAGTTCCATATGAAACTCCCTCAATGCCCTTTTAAATATTGCATCAACTACAGTCTCTCGCTTATTTTGTTGTCCAAGATGAGACTGCTTTTTGAATATAAACACACTAAACTCTCTCAAATCATCAATACTTTCTATTAGAAGGGCGGTGGAGTCAGTCTATTAATTTTCAAAATTAAATTTAAAAAATATAGAGGCTACTTGTTGCTTCGTTTTAGTCAAATTGAAGCTGGGGATTGCTGTAAAGCCAGCTCCAAACAGAGGTCCATGGTAGTTGGAAGCGAGGCTAAGTCGTGGGGATTTGAAGCTCCTTAAAATTTTTAAGTGAGTAAATTTTTAGGAAAATTTTTTGAGTTTAACTAGGCTTATTAAGTTCTGGGCCAGACACTCTTAAGGGACAGACCCAGACCTTTAAGGGCCAAACCCGAGTCTGGGTTAAGAGCTGGACCTGGAAAATTTTGAAATTTTTGGAAGACTCGAAGCCAGATTTCTTCCAAAAAGTCAATCTTTAGGAGTCCTGAACAGTGAAAATTATTCAGGACGGGTCCTGTATCAGGATTGGGTTTTAAAATTTCATACAGGACAGGATCCTTCAGGATTAATCCTGAAAATCCTGGAATCCTGACAATCCTGAAAACTGAAAAAAAGGCAGAATTTCGGGGGACGAACCCAAAGTAGGACGAAACAAAAGGGGACGAAACAAGTTTTTTACATTGGGACTGTTGGGTATTGGCTTAGTATAAAAGCCTTCCTATTATTCAGTCGGTCTGAGTCTTATTGTCGCAGTGTTATTCTTATTCTATTCTGTCTCCAACGTATTCGGCGCTTAGCCATTTCCTATTGTTCGCCTTATTGTATTTAGTATTGTAGATAAAGCACAGTTGTTAGATACTGTCTTATCTTGTTGTTATTCTTGTTAGTACGTAGACATACAAGTCACGTACATAACAGGGACGAAACAAAAGTTTTGTTCAGGGGGACGAAACAAAAGGGGACGAAACCAAAGCGCGCCAATTGAAACAAATAATAATTAACAAAACGCCAAAATTTATAAATACTGATCACGAAAAATCTTTTTTAAAAATATCGAAATATCGAAAAATCTCGCGATATTTCTGACTTGACCGAGACGAGATCGAGATCGATAATCTCGAAAAATCTCGATATCGAAAAATCTCGATTTTTTCAAAAATTGATCGAGACGAGATCGAGATCGATAATCTCGAAAAAAATCTCGCGATATCTCGAAAAATATCGTCGATATATCGTCTCGTGCCGAACACTAGTCTATTCATTAACATCTTCTTTCTTCTCACCAACGGGTCGGAGAGAAACCTTAGTTTCCAGGAATTGCGGAATTGTCAAACATTTTTGAACCTAAAGGAACTACGGATTGATTACGGATCAAACTAAAGAACTACGAATTAAACTACGAGTTGATTCCTTAAAACTGACGGGTAACACTTGAATGCCACTCAAAGCTTAGGATATCCCAGATAACTCACATTCTCTCCCAAGGCCTTCTACCAGCCTCACTCATTTTATAAACTGGGTTAGGCGAAGTTAGAGGGGTTGTGCAAGGTATTTTAGTTGCAAAGTTGGCACAATCTTTGTGAAATATTAATCGGCAGCCAGTGCAACGAAGGCCTTGGACCATCAATATGCCTGTCATTTGTCGATTGCATGTGGCACATTTGTCGGTTTTACAAACCCGACTAGGCTTGAATTGGTGGAAACGAAGTTTATCACATTCTTTGGAAGAACTAAAAATTTTTTTTGAAAGAAAAAAATTTTTTTTATTGCCTCCTCGTAGAAGCAGAAGGTATTGCATCAAATTCAAAATGCCCTCCTTCTCCCCCACCATCAACAGCCCCCTGTCTTCCAGCTTTTTTGAGAAGAGCTTTAATTTGCTTTGTGGCTTTTAAAAAGCTGCTTTTTGCTTTTGGACCAACTTTTGAGATTGAACTGGGAATCTAAATTAAATAATCCTTGGGGGATATTAAACAAATATTACTACTTTAGCTTTACAAGAGGAATCCTGGATTTGGTCGCTTTCTGTACTCGCTGCCCGACGTAGCATTTTATGCTTTCTAGCAGAAGTAGCGGCTAAAGATTGCCGTCTTTGCATCATTTTTCTTTTGGCTTCGTAAGAATGGGATTGGATCAGTTTAAGACGGGCGTCTTCCAAAATGAAGTCTGCGTCTAGAGCAAGTTCGGGATGCTCTCTTTTGTGCTTTGCCAATTTCTCATCATCAAGCTCGAACATTTCTTCTTCCAACCTCTCCCCGTCTTCCTCCTCCTCTTCCTCATCTTCATCAGATTCTTCTTCCTCCCCTATAGAAAGGAGAAGTTCATCGTCCAACTCGCGCGAATCAAAAGAATCAGGAGAAGCAAAGGCTGCTAAACTTTCGGGGTCGTTGATATCCAACTTTGGCAACGTTGTTTTGACAAGACGGGTGATCATAGGGCGAGGGGAACTAGACTTATTTTCTTTTGAAGCACGGCGCTCTTCCAAACTTTTAAAAATTAAGAGCGAATTTACACATTAAGGAGTCCTAGTAGCCTTACCATTTTCTCTGAGCATTTCCCCTGGCAAGTGATTGTATTCCTAATACAGCATGCCTTATTATTTTATACTTTCGTTGTGCAACAATTTTCCTCCACCAACTTTGGATACAAATAACTGCAGCATGTTTCCGCTGCATTTTAATTCGAGCCAAAACACCTCGAGTTAGAGCCTAAGATTTTGTGAAAGAGGAGAATTTAAATAAAAATTTAAGAGCGCAAACTTAAGATACGAACTTAAGCCTGTAAACTTAAGCTAAAAACTTAAGTGACAAAATTAAGACTATAACTTAAGTTCAAAACTTAAGATTACAAACTTGAGAGAAATATAAAACTTAAGCCTACAAAAATTTAAGATTACGAACTTAAGACTACAAACTTAAGTTACAAGCTAAAGAATAAAAACTTAAGCCACAAACTTAAGAGTAAAAACTTAAGTTTCTAAACTTGAGACTAGACTTGAAACTTAAGTCCACTATTATTCTACCTGTAATTTAATCACGCCTGCTCTAAACTTTTTGTAGCGTTTATGCTCCAATTGAGCTCTAATCCATCTTTGCAACGTTAAAATTTTTTCCATTATAATTCTATGTAGATGATCATCAAGTAATAACTTTTCTGGATCTCTCATAAATATTTTTGTATTTCCATATTGTATATTCTCCTCCGAGTCTATTATGGGTATACAACGCATAAACTCTTGGATATCACTTTTTGTTGACGCTAGTCCCTTAGGCAACAGTATGCGATATTGGTTGACAAAGGACTGGAAACAAAATTAAATTTAAAAAATTAATCCTCCCTCACTTCATATTCAATCCGAACAGAATAACCAGCACGGCGAATACGTACGGTCTCCAGCATTCCAGTATACCGTAATTGACGAAGTATGATATTATCATCAAAGTGATTGGGGACTTTCTCATTATTTGATTTTATGCACCGAATAAAGTAGGGGGTAGCCTGCCCCAACGTTTTCATTAATCTGGAGAGGGATGCACCAAATTGGCGGCTGACAGAGCTGGGCTTGTTTGAAATAGCTTTTTGGCCTACAGCGCCTTTCAAGGCTTGGAGGGTTTTTAAGTAAGATAAACGCAAGCTATGAGATTTTGTTGGAGTCTTCCTAGCCCTTTCTTTGATGGTTTTGAATACAGAAATATCGCAGAAATCGGGAACGATGCTAGCTGGTAGTTCACCACGTAGAAAGGCGTTTAGATGAGAGTCGGAGGAACGACGGGCCATTGAAGGGGTTTGGGCAGTTGTCAATTCTAGTCTGTCAACACTGCCTGAAAATTTAAGAGTGTGAAAATAGGCTCAAATAATTATTCTTGTTAATTATTGTTTCTACTTTTTGCTAGAGGGGGTAATAGGAGGTAAAGGCTTTCATTCGAGTCATTCGAGTTTTGGGGGGCCATTGGGCGGATGGGGTATTGGGGAGGGTATTTGTGGGGAGGGTATAATTTTTCAAGGTGTCCAGCGAATGTTCTCCTTTATATATTTCAACATTCGCTGGGGGGGGGGTAATTATTTAAGAGGGTATTTGAAAGAGTGTTTAAAACTTGAAAACTAGCAAACTCAAGTTTTTGAATAATACCTGCTCTTAATTTTGTCCTTCCAGCCTGTCGAAATGCGAACATTGCTCGCACCGTACAGCGCAACAAACTAAGGAATATATTTTTAAGCCTTGAAATCCAAGTTTATTTTTACCTCCATCTAAAAACAGCTACAGGATCTTCCCCAACCAATTCCCTAACAAAAGCGCTTTTACTTCCTTTAAGAACGTTCATTACATCATGCCGCATTAAGTCTTTATTTTTCTCTCGAAAACCATAAATTTGATATTTGACTTTCCCGGCATAATGGGCAATAATAAATGCAGCTTCTCTTTTATGGGGAACTTCATAATACTCATTTGTTCTTAGGAAGGTATTTAATTTTTCAAGCATTGACTGATCAGTACCATTGTTAATATTACTCTCCTAAAATTTGTGAAAATTATTTTTAAGCTATCGGAACGGCTCTAGTATAAGTCCTGGCCTTCTATTTTCAATAGGTTCTTTGACTGGCTTGTATGGGATATGGGCTTCCATTAGGGAGGAGCTTCTTTCGATGGCCTCTTTTAGGTAGGCTTGTATGGACTTTTAATAGAGCCGTGCTCATATTAGAGCATTGGTATATCCCAAAATCTAATATAAGCCCTGGTCTTCTATTTTATATTCTTTGACTGGCTTGTATGGGATATGAGCTTCCATTAGAGAGGAGCTTTTTCGATGGTCCCCCTTGGGTAGGCTTGTATGGGCTTCTAATAGAGCATTGGTATATCCCAAGATTTTTACCTCATCCACAAGTCTAAGAAGTCCATAAGGCTTGCTAGAAAACATCTCAACACATTCTGTGTTGTCTGTGTACTGTATAGGTGTCCAGCGAATATTCTCCTTTAAATTGGGGAATTTTTGAAGTTAAAAGTAAGATTTAAAAATTCACTTTCATATAAATTTCCTGTTCAAATTGGAAAATGTGTTGATTAAAATAGGCCTGCAGCCTTTCATTAGCATAATTAATGCATAATTGCTCAAATGAATTACAATTCCCCCCAACATCCTCAAACCCAAAAATATCCAAAATTCCAATGTAAAGTCCATTTGCTTTGTTCGCCGTAGCAGATTCCTTCCGAAAGAGAGAATGGTTAATCCTCAAAACAATCCAATGGAATAAAGCATTGTAGAGACACTTGGCTAAAGCATCCCTAGTTTGGGTAGCCTCTGCTAAACTATAACGATTGACTACTACATCGTGTTTTAATACTGTACGGCGCATTGTTAAGGCCTAAAAACAAATTTAAGTTTGTAGACTTAAATGTTTTACTTGTGTTAGTTGTTGAGCACAAATGCAAAGCATGCCGGAAACAATAGAAACAAGTTCTTCGTTCTCGATAAAGGCACTCTCATCACTGTGAAACCCTGGGCGCTGAAAAAAGTTTATTAAAGGGTAGTTAAGTTTGCAAACTTAAAAATCCAAGTTTATTAATTTCAAGTTTATTTAAATTATATATTTATTTCAAGTTCGTAAACTTAAGTTTATAAACTTAAATTAATCCAAGTTTTTAACTAAGTTTGTAAACTTAAATATTAAAGTTTGTTAATTTCAAGTTTATTTAAATGATATTTATTTTAAGTTCGTAAACTTAAGTTATAAACTTTAATAAATGAATCCAAGTTTATTAAGTCCAAGTTTATTAAGCTTAGGTTTATTTTATTATTATTCAGTTTAAGTTTTAACTAAGTTTGCAAACTTAAAAATCCAAGTTTAGTCAAGTTTATTTAATTAAAATTTAGTTCAAGCTTGTAAACATAAGATTATAAACTTTAATAAATAAATCCAAGTTTATTAAGTCCAAGTTTATTTAGCTTAAGTTTATTTTATTATTATTCAGTTCAAGTTTCCACTTAAGTTTGCGAACTTACAAATTCAAGTTTATTTATGTTTATTCAAGTTAAATTTAGTTCAAGTTTTTAAACTTAAGTTTATAAGCTTAATAATTAAATCAAGTTCAAGCTTGAAAGTTTAAGTTTGTATATTCCAACTTAACTTTAATAATTCAAGCTTGAACTTAAAACTCATATAATTAACTACCAATTTTTTATATTCAATATTTCCAAGCAATAACACAGCCGAAATCGTTCCAAAAATTTTATGTTGGGATTGAGTAGAAAACCCCACAGCTGTCATCGAGTGTTTTAACCTTTCAAATTCGTGTTTTTCATTCAAGGATTCGCATGCGAAGAAGCTGTTTTGATTGAGATAGTAATAATCTTTTGCATTGAGGAGTAAATGGTCTTTTCTCTCAGAATCAGTCATTCCCTCCAAGAGGTAATAAAAAACGTGGTAATTTCTAAAATTTAATTTTTAAACTAAAATTAAGGACAATTTTTAACCGTTCCCCCGCTGCCTGGGAAATTATTCTCGATTTTTCAAGCAAATAAATTTCCACATTTGCCCCACACACCATCCCGTTCTCGCGGTAATTTACTCGAATAAACTTTCCGAAACGACTGCTATTGTTATTCTGAACAGTCAGAGCATTCCCGAAGGCTTCCAAAACAGGGCCAGCTGACAATATTTGTTGTTCAATTGTATGCCCTTGGGTTCCTTTTTGGCTTAATGCTGTTAAGTGGTGAAGCAAAAAGTTGGTGGATTCGGTTTTGCCTGAGCCTGATTCTCCGGATATTACTACTACCTGAAATAAATAATTCTGAATTTACACAAATAAATACATTAAGAAATTAATGCTTAAAGCTCTCGCTAAAGAGGTAATTAATTAAGAGTGAAGGGGGAGGGGGTAACTATTTGAGGTTATTTTTAGAAAGGCTACTTATACTAATTATGTATTTTTAAGGTGGTAATCAAGGATGTCATGGGGTACCTAAAACCTGAAGTCAGGAATTTTTTTCGATCGGAACTCGAAACACGGACTTTTTCTCAATCTGTGACATCCCTAGTGGTTATTGTTTTCTCAACATATGACTGAAGAAGGAGGGGGTAGGTAGAGGGCAGATATAGGGAGAGGGCAGATATTTGAGGAGGGGAGAGGGTATAGGGCAGATATTTGAGGGAGGGTAATCCCTTAGAGTAAATATGTACGACAATTCAGATTGGGCTAGGAACAAATTAAAATTTTTTGGAAACCTGGTTTTCCTTATTTCTGATCAAATTGTGATAAGTAACATCCGCAATTGCAAAAACTGAAAAAAATTTTTTTATTATTAATTAAATGAAATGTAAGGAATGGCAAATATAATCTCCGAATAAAATCCGCGCTTCATCTCTTGTTTGTTCAGCAACTTTTTTTGTTTAACCAAACAATAGTAAACAAGAAAACAATGTGGATTAACACGAATAATTAGACAAATCAGAAATATGATATTTAATTTACTATGTCTGATATTATTGTTTACAAACTTGAGATTGTAATTAGTATATAAGAGGGTTAGTTAAGGTTGTAATTAAAATCAGAATTTCCAGAAAATCAGAAAAATCGGATAAAAATCAGAATAAAATTAAGAAGAAAATCAGAATAGAATCAGAACAAAACCAAAAAAATCAGAAGAAAACCAGAAGAAAATCAGAAAAAATTAAGAACAAAACTCAGAAAATCAGAAATTCAGAAGAAACTATCAGAATAAATCAGAATAAAATTTCAGAATAAAACCAGAAGAAAACAGAATTAAATTCAGAATAAAACCAGAAGAGAATAAGAAAAAAATCGGAAAAAATTAGAAGAAAATCAGAATAAAACCAGAAGAAAATTCAGAAGAAAACCAGAAAAAATCAGAATAAAATCAGAATAAAACCTGAAAAAAGAAAAAAAACAGAAAAACATTAAAATATAAATCAGAATTCAACACACACTAATCAGAATATTAACTCAGACTATTAAAATAAAATCAGAATCAGAATAAATTTAAAAAATATAATTACAATCCAGAATAGAAGCAAATTACAAATCAGAATATAAAATAAAATACCATGTGGAGGTAATGCTCCAAGGCGTCGATTCTGGCAATAAAGGCGAGAATATTTTGGATTATAAATTGGTAAAAAATTGAAGGGGTTTACAGCAACTAAAATAGGGCCGATATAAGTGTAGATTTTGCCTAAATATTTAAAAATAAATTCAAAATAAAATTCAATTTAAACACCATTTTTAAAGCGATCTCTGAGATTATCTAGCAATGTTTGCTCTGTTAATTCGGGCAAAACACAAAGGTCGGCATACTCTCTATCCTTGGGTTGAGATAAAAATTTGGTTAGGAATGTGTCGATTGTTGAAGCTGTAGCTAATAGTAAGCTTGACTGGTCCGAGGAGAGCCTCTTTTTGCTTTTGAGAACGAACCGATTTCGGGGGATTGATGGGTCGTTGTCTTGCGCATTTAATGGGCCTCTAGGCCACAGTGTTTTTACGATGACTGGGTATTCTGTTGGGTCTGAAAAATAATTTTTTGGGGGTATTCGAAGGATAGTATCATTCAATTTACCCATCTTCCTCTCCCTATAAGTCCGCCCATCCAATGTCCCCATTGTGTCGAAGAGCTCAAAATCATCTTTGGAACAATTTGCAAAATTGTTGTCAATCTCCGCGCGGGTATCAAGAATTTTCTCTATAAGTTCTTCGGCTGTTGAGCGTTTGTGGAATTCTGATTTATTTAAAAGAGAAGCAGGTTTTTTGAAATTTTTGTTTAACTTTCTAGTTTAATATTATACCCACCTATTGACAGCCTGTGGCCTTCAACCTCTGGGTTGAACGTGAAGAGGAAGACTAAATTTGTATGAGTAATATTAAGTGTTTTAAGGAGAGACCGGACTTGAAAGGATGTACGAGACTCGAGATCATTATTTCAAAAAATCTCAACGATCGACAGCTAAGATTTTCGTTCGAGATCCCTTTCCAGGTCCGATCTCTAATTTTAAGCTCTACAATATTTCTTTACAATTCCAATTTTTTATTTCAAGATTTTTCAATTAAAATTCATAATTATAGAAACAAACCCTCAATAATATAAAAGTGTGTTTCATCAACCGATTGTGCTGATATCATTGGAACTCCTGCCGATCTCTTAGGGAAAACACCGCCTGTAGATGTCCCATGTGTATTTAACGAATTTGAAGTTATTGGAGGGGTAAAAGGGTTGGTTTGGGAATCTAAACTCATCCTTGTTTGCTTGTTGATAAATTTTTTTTGTTATTTTTTACTGCTGTTTTTACTAATATGAAGTGAAAGAAAAAGTTGTGAGTTCACTTAGCTAACATTAAATTCACTAGCATTCACATGCGATGGGTAGGTAGGAATAGAGGATAACCGAAAAAAAAATATTTAAAGCGTGTAAAGCAGAGAATTTAAAAAAGAAGGAGGAAAAACATTCGATCCGATCACTATAGAGGTTAGGATTTGTGAGTAAAACCCAAAAGATTACCTCAAAGGAGATATGACTAGATAGGTAAAAATATCCAAAAATTGCTTAGAAGCATTGCTGTGTTTTGGGCATTTGTTAGCCCCGGCTCCGACCTTTTCAAACCTTGACTCCAGCTCCGGAGCTGTTGAGAGGTTTTTAATGAGTCTTACAGACATTACATTTACTAATTCAGATTTTCAAAAAAAATTTAGAATGATCTCAAATTTGTAAGTATAAAAATGGCTGAACTGGGTAGGCTTACAAGAATCGATGGCTTAAAAATCGAGTAGATAAATAAGATTTCTGTTAGACTTACATCTCGATAAGAGGTAAATCGGAAATGATGAAGGTGCCGGAAATCGGAAATGTCGAAAATCGGAACTGTCGAAAATCGGAAATGATTCAATTCCGATTCAACTTTGATCTCGATCCGGACAATATTAAAGTCTTTTTAAAGCTCATACATATAATGTTGATAATTTAAAAGATGATCCTTTGGATGTTGATCCGCTTGGTAATAAGCAACCCTTTCGAATGACGCTTGCGAGGATATAGCTCATCCCTCTCTCCCTCAAAATTCGATAAGTTAGCTTTCTGCCAAGTCAATAATTTTTAACGTAAAAAGTAAACGAGAGAGTAAAAATTGACAAAAAGAATTTTTGAAACCACGTTCATTGTTTTATTTTATGGAGATACCTATGTAATATATTAACAACGACAAGAGAGTTTTAAATACTGATCATTGGACAACAACTGATTTTAAAACAGAAAAAAGGGCAAAAATCTAAAAATTTACCAAAAGAACACTTTTCTGGATTTTAAATGAAGAAAATTAATTTTTGAAGGAGAAATGAACAAAAAAAAATTTTTGTCCATCGATCATAGAATATATTGGAAATTCCACAATTATTGGAGAAGAAAAATTAGAGAAAATTAAAAAAGCCCAATAAATACGTTATTGAAATTTTATGGAAAATAATTTAAAAAAATCGAGGCATATTTTCACCGATATTTTTGGAAATTTTTAAGAAAGCTGAAACTATTTGTAAATTCTATAAGGACGGGCAAACAGTCCAAGTTCATATATTTAATATCAAGGATATTTTATATCCTTCCATAGTCCCTTTTCTTCTGACTGGTTTTGATCATCAAATCGGATTTTAATTCATCGAGTAACCCTTCTTCGAAATAAATGAATACTCGAATTAATTATTTCTGAAGCTCTATCCTTCTGCAAGGCTTTTTAGAATGTCCCCACGCTTGAAATCCACTTTTTGATACTCTTTCGAATGAGTTATACTAGGTTAATAGACGGGCATGATTCTTCTTCTAGATACGACATTTTGGACTACCTCTTACCTAAAAAATACACTTAATTAAATATTTCCGGTATTAAATATTAAACTTCAAGTTCATCATTACCAATAAATTAATTAGTCTATAATTAATAAACTTCTCCACTTTTTTCTATTTTAAAATTTATTTAAGGGAACAGCAGCTTTATATAATTAAAATATCAGGCTTCTCAAAACTATATATTTTATTTTTTCGTTTCTATGGTTTTCTAAGACAATTTCTTTTATTCAATTTTTTGTATTCTATACATTTATTTCTAAATTTAAATAAAACATTAAAAATGCCAATTGTGTAGATTGCGTGTATTGGGTAAAGCTAAAGGTAAAGGAATTTTCATAAAATTATTTTACGTCCATATTGAAGAAAATTAAGTTTAAAATTGGAATAGATTTTTAGAGGTACGCTAATTCAAGTTTCAATATATCCAAGTTTACAATATATCCAATATATATATATATATAATATATATAATATAATAATATAATATATATATCCAATATATATTTACAATATATCCAATATATCCAAGTTTAGAGGTACTCTACTTCAAGTTTAATATGATAAATTTTACAAATTTAATTTCAAATTTACAATCTCATTTTAAATTTCTTTATTATTTTATTTTCAAAATTAATACCGTAAATGCTCTAATTGAAGCCAGGCTGCCCATATCTTATATAAGCCCACCCAAATTGACCCTTTGAAAAATAATTCCCCACCCTCAAATACCCTGCACGTTAAATGCCAAAACTCGAATAATTCCCGTCCCTCAATTAATTCCCCATGCGGAGGAAGGGTTGAAAAAATAATTTCCAAGTGGAATTAATCGAGAAAATGCGGTAAACGCCCAGGGCTTTAATTAGAGCATTACGGCCGGTCAAGTTTTACGTCCATATCCAAACTTACAAACGTCATTTTCAAGGTATTAAAATCTTTTTTTTTAAGTTTACAATCCTATTTTAAGTTTTACAATCCTTCTCAGGTTCACAACCCTTTTTTCTTTAATTAAACCTTTCTATAATTGGCTAACTTAATTAAACCTATTTTTATTTCCTTTTTTATTTTTATAAAATAAATTTTATTTCCGTAATTTTCCCCCGCTTAATACAATTTCCATTGCTTATTTCATCTGTCCTCTATACACCACAAATTCTAATTTAATTGAATTTTGATTTTAAACATTCTCAGAAAATTTTTTTAACTCAATTTCATATTTATTTTATTAATTTTCTCACTTATTTTTCTCTATAATTTTTCTCAAATTTAATTTAATAAATTCAGAATTCCTCTAAAATTACAAAAAATGTGGATAAGGCGGAATAATATATTTGCCCGTAATGGCCAAAACAACGGCGTCGGTCCAAATATTCAATCACCAAATTCAACACCCTTCAATCCCAACCATCGTCGTTACCGTACTTGTTGCTGCCATTCTAAAACGTTTACCTTATCTTTTGGAATGGTCGAATTATTTTTGATTTGCTTCGTTTTGGTAGCTATTGGTCCTGATTTTAATAATAAATATTGCTTAAATCATCATCTTAATGATACTCATTTTATTCAATCTGTTTCACCTCCACCACCTCCAGATTCGCCTCCTCCACCTGAAAATTCACCTCCTTCCCCTCCGCTTCCCCCGCCAGCTCCAGAAGGTCCCCCTCCTCCTCCACCTTCAACTGACTTCAATAACAACACTAATACACCTCCAGAAGCACCATCAGAAGCAGACAGGCCAATGGCCAGAAGAAGGAGGAAACGTCAATTAATTGAGGAGAATGGCCCTAGTGGCTTACCCCAATCTTCTGCTCCTGATGTTATGGCCTTAATTGGTCAAAAATCGCCATTAACCGAAGCACCTCCAAATAATGATGAATCCCCTGAAAATAGACCTGTAATTAATGAAAGTGAAGAAATTGGAAAAATGGATGATCAAGAAAATTTAAGTGTGGAAAAGGGAAGGAATAGGTATTTTTAATTAATTAATTATTTTTAAAATAATGTTTGTAAGATTGTAATTTTACAATAATAATTAAATTTGAATTAAGTTTAAGCTTAGTCTTATTAAAAGTTGAATAAATTAACTAAAATAAAGTTTTAAGTTTGTAAGCTTAAAATGAAAATAAACTTGAATTAAGTTTAATCTTAAAACTTAAAAACTTAAAACTTTTTAATTGTTTAATTTAAAAAAAGTTTTCAAGTTTGTAATCTTAAAATAAATAGTAATTAAACTTAGACTAAGTTTAATCTTAAAACCTGAAAACTTAAAACTTGAAAACTTAAAACTTGTAAACTTAAAACTTGAAAACTTAAAACTTGAAAACTTAAAACAGAAACTTAAAACTTAAAAACTTGAAACTTGGAAAAAAACAAATTACAATTACAACAATAAAAATTACAAATCTTAAATTAACTTAATTTACAAATTGTAAAATTTTACAATTAAACTTTTTTAGTTTCTCAAAATGGCTAAAATATACTACCTGTAATTTAACTGTATTTTGGGTTGTATGGATCATTTTACACATGTTATCAATAGGTTTAATTTGTTATGGGATACGTAGACAACTTTGGCTATTAATTATTCCTCATCTTATTTTTAGGTAATTTTTGGGTTATCATTTTATTTCTAAATTAAATTTTCAGAATTTCTTGGATATTAATTATTTCATTAATTATTGCTTCCATTATTTCCTCATTATTTACCCTTCCCCAGAATGATCATCTTCTTGGTCATGTTATTCTTTGTATATTTTTATTCGTTCTATGCCTGATTATCTGCCTTTTTGTGGTAATTAAATAATTATTTTTAAAATTAGTGTAAGGGAGAGGAGTTAGTTACCTATCAGAATGTCGGGTTTTTGAAAAAAGTGGGTCGGGTTTCGTGTAGAAAAAAGTTTCCAAGTTTCCAGTGGACCATTTTCTAATACATATAGGACGAGTTGACTAATTAAAATTGTTTCCAGGTTTCCAGTACTCGACCCCAACCATATCTTGATACATATACGATTAGTCAACTCTTTAAATTCAAGTACTAAAATAATCAAAAAATCACTGATACCCTAAAATTCTATCAGAAATCCTTGTAATCCTCCATAAATTTTTAATATAATTTTTAGAAATCGGAAATTGCTTGTATTCTCTTTGTCAAGCGTTCAGCAGAAACAGGCTTTTCAATTTCAAACACTAGACCCTTCGCTCCTCCAAGTGCAGTTTCAAACTCAGACGGGAACAGGCCCAATGAACAAGTCAGGAAAATTGTTCACACTTCAATCAGAAAAGTACCCGGTCCGAGCGCCAGAAGATACCAACAAGAAAATTTAACAGACAACCAAAATGTGAATAAACGAAATTCAGTGGAGGACGAGAATAATAATATCTCTCAAATGACAATGACTACATTAGCTGCTGTAGGTGCTGGAACTGGAACAAGTAATAATAGCAGTAATTCAACAACTAGACCTTCTACAGCTGGGAGTTTAATGCAAACTAATAGAAGTGGAATAATTAAAGGTGGTTAAGGGGGTGTTAAAGGGTCTGTTAAGGGTTAAAGGGTTAATTAAATGGTTTGTCTGAGGTTGGTGGATCCTGTGAAACCCCGAATATTAGGATTCAATACCCAAAATGAAAATTCCGACGCATCCCAACTTCCGGATTTTTTAGAAATTATTGTAGCTGGATCCGCCAAAAATCCAATCCAAAATCCGTCTGTTCCTGAGGTGTCAAGGAAAACTTTTTCGAGAAACGGGGATGTTGGAGAATGGACAGGATTGTATGGGGATTCAATATCCAGACCGAAAATCCTGACAGATCTAAATTTCCGGGTTTTAGAGCTTGTTTTTTCTAGTAATATCCGCTAATTGGTATCATCTCGGATTCTGGTACCATCCGTTCTTGAGGTGTCCAGGGAAACTTATTCGAGGAAAAGGTTACAAATACTTGAATTAACCTTCCTCAAAATAATTAAGTTTAAAATATTTTTAAGGTTTTGTGGGCATTTCCGAGTCAATTACAAAAAATAATTCCTCATCTAGAGGTAGCAGTGCAGAAGAGAGAAGATTCACACCCTTAAACAATTTAAATTATGAAATGAGGGAAACAAATTTTGGAGGGGATGGAAGGGTAATTAATGGAAGTTTGCCGCCTTTAAGGCATACTTATAAAGCCTAAATTGTAAAACTTGAGATTGCGAAATTAAATTGTAAAACTTTATTGTGTTTTCATTTATTTTAAATAAAAATTAATTAAATATTTAAACATAAATAGTAGATAGATAAAAATGAAAATAAAATAAATATTTTTACAAATACTCTGGGGAACTCAATAATAAATTTTAAGTATGGACTCTCATTAGTAGAGACTCTCTATTATTATTTCCTCAGATAACTACAAGGAATATCCTTCGAGTCGTTACTAACAAGAGTTAATTAAAACGAAATCACTTTCCATTTTCATTAATATTAGCTTCTTCCCTCACAGAAAACTTTTTCCCTCTTTTCCTAACAAGCCATTGCCCATTAAATATTCTTATACTGAATGTACTCATTTTTGATGTTTTTCTATCACTATTTTGTTGTTCGTCTGTTTTGTTGTTGTTGAGTTCGTCAAAATCTGAACTTGAGTTTTCCTCCTCACAACAACCGGACAAACTTTGTTTTTCAAGATCAAACTTGAAATTATGTTCCTCTTCATCACAACAAGTTGGTAAACTTTGTTTTTCAAGATCAAACTTGAAATTATGTTCCTCTTCATCACAACAAGTTGGTAAACTTTGTTTTTCAAGATCAAACTTGAAATTATGTTCCTCTTCATCACAACAAGTTGGTAAACTTTGTTTTTCAAGTTCAAACTTGAAATTATGTTTGTCTTCTTCTAAACAAGTTGGTAAACTTTGTTTTTCAAGTTCAAACTTGAAATTATGTTTGTCTTCTTCCAAACAAGTTTGTTCGTCATCACAACAAGTTGGCGAACATTCATCATGTTTTTCAAGTTTAAACTTGACAAAAGAAACTTTTTTGTTGTTGTTCTCTTCAAAACTATTATTAAAACTTGGATTATCTTCAGTTTCAAATGTGCTAGAATGTTTTAAAGATGGTGATTGTTCGTCAAACGAAGAAAATACAATTCTGCTTTTTAGGCGAAAATTTTCTCTTTTCATTTCGAGTAGTGATAGAGATGTTTTGTTAAGAGTTGGAAATGGTGTTTGGGGAGGTTCTAGAAATAAGGGGAATTTTTAAAAAATTTTTTTGAAATTTTTGATTAATTTTCTAACCATTCTTAACGACTTCCTTCGACAATAGTTCTCCTTTTCCTTCAAAATCTTCTTTTGTTTCACTCTGTTTTGGCTCAATAAAGCTATTATTCTCTATTGTATTATTATTCAAAATATTATTATTGTTAGTTGTTGCTATTCTCTTTGTTCCCATAGGCTGTCCATAGCCTCCTCCAAACGAATTCATTGGGGGTATTACCGCAAAAGATTGTGCAATCACATTCTTATGGGTAACGTGGTTAACGTTGTTGGTGCTTACTGGCTGTTGAGTACATGTATTTTTGACTTTGGCTGGCAAGAAACGGCGTAAGGAATGCTTGAAGCCTGGCATCTGATTTTAATAATTTTTTTTAATTTTCAAAAAAAAATTTTTGATTTTCTACCCCATATGCGTAAATTAGGGGATTCAATGCACAATTTAGGTGTGAAAGTACAACAGCAAAAAGAGTCGTCATCTGTCCTGGATGATACGTTGGTGGCAAAAATAAATCTACCGTGTTGATTAAATAAAGGGGATACCAACAAAAAGCATAAGTTAAGACCAAAATCAGCAAAATTCGAATTAATTTTCGTCTAACAGAAATACGCCTTTGACGCTCTGATGCTCGTAATAAACATTTTATTTGGCGCTCTTCGCTACGTATTCTTTTGTAGATTGAAATATAACAATATGCTATAACTATGGATGGGAGTATAATTGTCCCGAAGAAGATGATGAAGACTAGAAAACGGTAGTCTACAACCTTAATATAATAATTATTTTTAAGCTTAAACTTTCCGGAAAACTATATTCCGGAAATATATATTTCATTATATAATATAAATAGGTATATTACTTCCGGAATATAATAAACTTTCCGGAAAATATAATAAACCTTCCGGAATACTATATTAAATTGTTAGAAAATATAATAAACTTTCCGGATGTTTTATATTAAACTTGGAAAACTTTCCGGAAATATATTTAAATTAATTTATTAAAATCACCACAGTAAAGTGACACTCTCCACTAAATTTTTGGATTGTATGAGAGGCAAACCCAAAACCATCAACCATGGGAAGGCCAGCAATTGCTGTGCCAATAAGCCAACATCCAACAATTAAAAAATGTGCGCGTGTTTTGCGAACAGAGGTTGAGGAAGAATTGCGCTGCTCAACAAACCTTTTTAAATAAAAATTAAAATAATGTTTTGGAGAATTTACCTTCTCAAACATATAGTTAAGTATTTATCTACTGCCATTGCTAGTAAATGAAGTGTAGAAACTGTACACAAAACACACAAAATTAAATGTATGGCAAGGCAAGGGTAAAAAGAACCAGGCCAACGAGTTAATACTGAAGCTACCTTAAAATAAATCGTTTTCCGGAAACTTAAGTTTGTAATTTTAGATTAAAGTCAAATAAATAATAAATCAACTTTCCGGAAAATACAATTTCGGAAAATACATTAAGCTTAGGTATAACTATAAATTATAATTAAATTTTATTTAATGACCTTTCCGGAAAATATATTAAACTTAAGAATAACTCTAAATTAAACTTGAAATTACTTTCCTAAAACTTTCCGGAAAATATATTAAACTTGGGAATAACTCTAATTTATAATTAAACTTGATTAAATTAAACTTTCCGGAAAATATTATAAACTTGAAATATAAAAACATACAGTAAAAGGAATTCCAAGTGCACCTGTAAGAAAATCAGTTAGAGCTAAACTAAAAATATAAGCATTTGTAGGTGTTCTAATATGCTTTGACCGGAGATATACAAAAATAACTAAAAAGTTGCTTATTGCAATTTGTGCTGCTAGAATTAATTCGGCTGATGCATAGACAAACAAAAAGGTTTCTGTCATAATTTACTTGAAAAAAATTTTTTTAATTTTAAATTTTATAAAAAAATCATGTATAATATTGTGACATCTTTACAAATTTATTTTTTAACTAAAATTTTGCATTTGTGCAAACATAAAAAATCCCGCTTTGGGACATATACGTGTGTAAATTTAAAAATATTGAGGGTGTAAAAATATATTTAGGTTTGTTACTGAATTTGCCAACAATTTGAGGTTTTTATTTTTAATCTGCTATCGTAATTAAACATATTATCCAGTGTAATTTGAGGAGAAAAATTTATTTATAATTAAAATCAAAACAAACAAATAAAAATAGATAAGGATTTTAATGATTTTAATGATTTTCTTAGCTACTATAAATAAGCTAGCTATTTTATATATAAAATATATTCAAAATTATATTAACAAAACTTTCCGGAGAATATAATAAAAACAGAGAAAGTTATACTAAATAATAAAACTTTCCGGAAAAGTATTAAAATGTTGAGAGTTATATTTTAAAAATAAACTTTCCGGAAAATAAGTATAATAAACCTTTGGTATTTTTCAAAAACTTTCCGGAAAATATGATAAAATCAAGGGAGTAATACTAAATAATAAAACTTTCCGGAAAAGTATTCTATTAACATGTTGAGAGTTATATTATAAAAATAAACTTTCCGGAAAATAAGTATAACAAACCTTTGGTTATTTTTTCAAAAACTTTCCGGAAAATATAATAATAACAAGGGAGCCATACTAAACAATTCAACTTTCCGGAAAAGTATTAACATGAAAAACTTTCCGAAAAATATAATAAACTTGGTAATAATACCTATAATTAACCTTCTATATTAACATTAACTAATGTCTTTACTAGTAATTTTTTGTTAATAAAATAACGCAAACAATTTCTTAAGTAAATATGACGTTAGGATAAAGGGGTGTCTATAAAGGGAAAAGAAAAAAATTTTTAAGTTGCGCAAGTTGAAGGGGGAGGATTTACTCAGAGGAATATTTTTGTAGAGAGAACGGCACTTGAGAAAAAATAGAAATAATGTAAAAAAGAAGCTTAAACAGTCAAGATTAGTTGAATAATGCATTTAAAAAATATTTAAGAGTATCAAAAACCAAAATTTAATGGAAAAAGAAGCTATCATTTATTTTGTTGATAATGTCTAAAAATTGCAAAATAAAATAGGGAAAAAATAATAATTATAACACAAAATAAAAATAGTTAAAGAAAATAAAGAGTATAATTTAATGATGAGTCATTTATTAAAGGTGCTTATTTGTTTGCTTTTTGGATAATAAAGGAAAAGCGTGAATAATGAAAAGGGCAAAAATGCTTAATAATTTGTTGAACATATTTTAAAAATAAACCTTTTTTGAAATTAATTTTCCGAAAGTTTATTTAATATAATTTGATAGATAATAACTCTAAAATATCAATAGATCAAGTTTATTTATATTCTAAGAAAAATAAACTTTATTATAATACAAAACAAGTTTATTTTGAATACAAGTTGCAATAATACTATGAGAAAATATAAATAATAAGCTTGCAATACAACAATTGTTTTTTATGTTGTAAATAAGTTTTAAGAAAAGTTGGAAAACAAGTTGGAGAAAAGGTTGGAAAAAAAAGTTGGTAAAAAAGTTGTTAATATCTATTAATAAACTTAAGCATGCTAGTATATTCTTTAGTTTTTTAAGTTTACAAACTTGCTCTTTCATCACCAAAAAAACAAAAGGCTAAAATAACACTAAATTTAAACAAACAAAAAGAATGAATAAATAATCTCTAAGTTTTAGGCTAAATATTTTGTGTATATTATACAAAAGCATTAAAAAAATAATTTTGCAGCATTCCCTGGAAATTATATATTTAATTACTGCTATGATAAAAAACAAGTTTATTTTTTAAATTTAGTTCTTTGTTGTTTATAGCATTAGTTTATTTATAGGGACAAAAAAGTTCTTGATGAAAAAAGTAAATTAAGAGACAGACGGAGTGCATGACCTAATGAGCTTTATTTTTTCATAACTTTTGAATAGATAAACGGATTAAAGTGATTTTTGAAGCATTCGATAGGGAATTAAATTCTCTATAAAATAAGTGAAAATGATAATTTTTGGTGCTTATAAAGAAAAGTTATGGCCAAAAAACTGCAAAAAATGAGCAAAATAGCTAGTTTTTTGGTCATAACTTTTTTTTATTTTTAACTAAATTTTTACTTTACCTCTTATTTTGTAGAGAATTTAATTCTCTATCCAAAACTCCAAAGTTTGTTTAAAAAAATTAATCGAGTCAATAGCTATATATTTTTAAATTCATGCGGTCTACCACCCCAGTTAACCTCCCCCAGAAAGGAAATTGTTTTTAATGTTCTTTTATCTTAAAAGAACTAAAAAGGAAAAATAACCCTTTTACTTCAGCCAATTTAATTAACTTTTTTCTGCATTATTTCATTTGCTGACAGCTTTTGAAAAGAAAATTACTGCTTTAGTTAATCAAATGTTTGATTGACTATTTAATAAAAAATATTTTTTATAAGACCAAAAATAATTGGAAAATTAACAAAGGAAGGAAAAGCACGCAAAATATAAAAATTTATTTCCAATTGAGGGTAAAAATCGTATAATTTTTTTTGAAAATAATTTTCAAAATTAGAAAACCAAAATTTTTAGATTTTTAAAACAATTAAATTAATACATGCACGAATAAAAATAAAAATTGAATAAAGAGAAAATTTAAAAAATGTTAAGAAAAAAATTTTTTAATAATTTGAATTTAATAAGAACAATGTTCAGACAATTTTATAAAATTAAAAAAATTTTTTTTTATTAATTAAATTTCTAAACTGAATTAATTGTTGGCTTAAAATGACTACAACTACAAGCTCAAAAATACAATAAAATTAAATTTATTAAAAACGTCTACAAAAAAAATTTAAATTAAAAAATCAGACATAGTGTCTAGCATTAATTTTCGACCCCAGCCAAAATAAAAAAAATTTTTTTTCGAAAAAAATTTTTTTTCTTGAAAAAATCGTTAACTTACTTGTTTCTTTACCTTCTGGATTGTTTACTTAAAACAAAAATATTCCCATCTTTTTTTAAAAATAAAAATTTTAAAATTCCTCACATGATATTCATATAGAAATTGTAATATTTATATTTACAAATAAATATTTAAATAAAAATTCATATTTATTTATGACCATGGGAAAACAAATATTAAATATTGCGGGATAACGATAAAAGTCATTTAAATAAAATACAAATAAAATATCAAGTTTGTAAACTTTAGTTTAAATATTAAACTTTTGTTTACAATACAATGTTTGTTTTGATATTCAAGTTTATTCAATAAAACTTAATGTTTCTAAGTTTTATTTCAAGTTTGTAAAGTTTAACAAACAAGTTTATTTAATATGCTCAAGTTTGTTTTATAAAAAACAAGTTTATTTAACAAAAACAAGTTTAATTATTAATCAAGTTTATTTTCATAAACTTGGTTTTTATTTAAAGTTTTAATTAAAGTTTTATTTATTTGTAAACTTAAGTTTTTTATATAAACCAAGTTTATTTAATAAAAACAAGTTTAATTACTAGTCAAGTTTAATTTCATAAACTTGATTTTTATTTCAAGTTTGTATGAAATAACTCTAAATGTTATTTTCAAGTCACGACATCTTGTTCTATTAAAGTTTATTTAAAATAAACAAAAATACAATTGTAAAAAATATAAAAAGGAATATGAAATGAGTAAATAATTGTAAATTATATTTACATACACATAATTTTTATTTTTCAAGTTTGCGAAATGTTAAAATTGTAATTTAATTATTTTCAAGTTGCTAAACCCTCATATAAACTAAGGGCGTGTACAATACTGGGATCTGCCTTGGCGCCTTCCTTGAATTCTTCAAGTGTTAATTGTTCGTCATTATTCTTAAAAATTTTTAATTAAAAAAATATTTTATTATCAGAAAAATTATTTTTTTAATAAATTATTCACTTTATCCATCATAGCAAATATTCTTTCCACTCGCTTTTCAGGGCTATTGTCTTCATCGGATAATCTGACCGAGTCTCCTACCATTCTATTTATTGAACTAACGATTGATTCTTAAATAAATTTAATTTTATAATCTTCCAAAAATTTTATTTCTTTACCCATTTCCTGTCTAGAAATAAATCCATCCCCATCCAAATCATACAATTTAAACGCCCATTGCAATTTTTCGTCCAAATTTCCACGACTTGTGATCGATAAGGCTTTTATAAACTCGTGGAATTCAATTGCTCCATCCTTTAAAATTTTTTTAAAAATTATTTCTTCTTTTAAATATTACTTTATTTTCATCAAAAACTTTAAAAACATAAGCTGCAAAATCAGAAGGATCTCCTTGTGGAAAAAATTGTTTATATATTTTTTGGAAACCCTGAAAGTTTAAATTAGTTATTAAATTAAAATTTAATTTTACAATTTCTGTAAGCATTCCATTTGGACAATCTCTTACAAATCCTTTATGCCATTGTTTTATTTCCTTTTCTGTGACTAAAATAAATTTTTAAAGTTTGTGTTTTATAAAAAGTTTATTTTAATAAAATGGATTTTTTAAGTTTGCAAACTTGTTTTAATAAAGTTTGTTTTCAAGTTTTAAGTTTATAAACCTATTTTATTTTAATAAACTTAAGTTTCAAAGTGTAAGCTTACAAACTTTTTTATTTAGTAAACTTAGTTTTCCAAGTTTTAAGTTTGCAAACATATTTTTAATAAATTTTGTTTTTAAGTTTTAAGTTTATAAACTTATTTTATTTTAATAAACTTAATTTTCCAAGTTTTAAGTTGACTAACTTCTTTTGTTTTAATAAACTTACAAGTCATAAAGCTTACAAACCTAAACTTAAGTTTCCAAATTTAAGCTTACAAACTTTCTTATTTTAGTAAAATTAGTTTTCCAAGTTTCAAGTTTACAAACTTTTTATAGATAAAACAAATAAAAATTACA